CCGCGCGCGCGACTCGGACCCCTGGCCGCTGGGATCGGGTCTGCGGGGCCAGGAAACAGCGGCCCCGCGGAGCACCGGCGGGGTGGGTCGGGCCAGGGCGGCGGGCAGAGGGAGGGGGCGGGGTCGCCCCAGCTTCACCTAGGGGCGCTAGGACGCCCAGCAGGCTGAGGGTCCAGTTGCCACTCCCGGACTCGGGTGCCTGGGTGGAGGGTGCCGCTCCGGTACCTTCTCGCTGGCAGGCGGGAGCTGTGCGGGGGGGCTTGAGTGTGGAGAGATGGGGTCCCCGGCGTCCAGCCGGTCTTTCAGCTAGCACGCCAGCCCCTGCCACTGCCCCGGGCAGCCGGGACGTCCATTGTACCGGGGTCTCTGGGCTGGGGTCTGAAACTGAGTGAGGCTGGATACAGGGGGTAGGGTGGGGGTCATGACATGGGGGCCATAGCTGAGACCACAGCGCCCTCCACCTCCTCGCCCCCTAGGTGGGCTCAGGCACACCTGGAGCGCAGGTTCCACAGCCCAGCCGGCCAGGCACTGCGGAACGGCCGTGGTGGGGAAAGGGTTAAACGGAAGGGGGTGGAGGGGAGGACCTGGACCCCGCCTCTCTGCGGAGCGTCCACTGAGGGTGGCTTTGCTTGGGGTTAGGATGCCCGGGGGCTGAGCGGGGACTTGCCGGTCTCAGGGTGGTGGGAAGGGATTAAGACCTTGTTCGGGGGTCTGGTCGCTTTTGCCTCCCGAGCTCCCCGGGGGACGCCGGGCGCGTCACCTCTGAGCTCCCGGGGCTCACAGACACGCTCCGAGCCCGCCTGAATGACGGCCCCGCCGGGGGAGCGCAGCATCCCCACACCGGCCAATCAGGCGTGCGCAGGCCGGGAGGCGGTGAGATCATCTCTGGCCAATAGCAGCGCGCTGAGCGCAGGGATGCTGCATTAGCGCCCCAGCCCCCTTCCCTATCCCAATCCTGGGAGCTGGGGACCCTTGGACAAGGGTGAGGAGGAGGGCACAAGGACCCTGGGGTTTCCCATCCTCCTAGCCCTTCGAAGCGCTGGACTGGGTTGGGAGGCCAAGTTGGTCCTCCTAGCCAATTTCTCTGACCCTTGCTGAGGGCTGGGGCAAAAAGCCCAAATCCCTCCTCTCCTTAGCAGAGAAGGTTACCCAGGTCAGAGAGGGGAAGTGACTGACTCACGGTCCTACAGTGGCAAACGCTTGGGGCCTAGTTCTTTCCCACACAGCCCCAATCCTTCTCTGCCCCATGCCCCTCTTGCCCTTAGCTGTGGAAGTGGTGGGGATTCTAAGATGCTTGCTGTTTGTCGGGAAGGACCCAAAGGATCACCCTTTTCCTTGTGACACCTTCCATCCTCCCTTCCCCAGGGCTGGCGTGATGTGGAGTCAAGGAGACCCCAGGGCTATAAAGAGGGAGACCAGGGACCCCCCCAAGAACAGGGACGCCTTGGAGAAGTGCAGTTATTAAAAAACAGGCAAAACAAAAAAACTCAACCCACCGTCCCTGGATAGCTAAGAAGACCCAATGTCAGCCCGGCCTTCCCTGCCATCAGTTTCTACCTTAGAATCCCCACCCCAACTCCTACCTTCCCCTGATCACCTCTCCTCACCCCCTACCTGTCTGCATCTCCACTCCCTCCATCTGCGCCCAGAGCCCCTGCAGACCTCATACAGCCCACTTTTCTTGGGCCCACTACCAAGCTGCTCCTGCCCCAGCCTTGCCCACCGCAGACAAGGTCCCATTACCTCCCCACCCCAGGATCTCAACCTGGGAGTCCTCCCTAACCTCTAAATCCTCTCTCCTCCCCAAGCTAATCAATACTCATCTAACTGCCCTGCTCCCTATCTCATGACTTGCCCTGCCTGACCATTGCCTGGGAAGCATTGCACACTCAACACAGAGCAAATCGAACTCTGCCCTCGACACTTAAGAACCTTCTGCCACTCTGTTCTAGTCCCCTGGGTAAATTCCAGCTCCGTATGGCAGTCTCCCTCAAGCGCTGCCACACCTGCCCCTGCCATCCCTCCTCCCTGCCCCTGTGAAGCTTCCAATCCATCTATCTCCCTCCACTCTGCCCTGGCTCTGCCCACGGGGGCCCAGGCTTTGTCAGGGTCCTCCCACGAGCTCTTCCCTTTCTTCTCTCCTCACCCCCCATGAGGTTGCTTGGCTGAGCTAGTCCTCCTCCTTCAGGCCTCAGCTGAACAGAAACGTCATAGCCCTCCCTGGCCCCACCTCCTGGTTAAGTGGGGGCAGGAGGCAGGAAGGCATGCTAAGCTGGGTACCTTAGGCCTCTCCTAAAACCTGGAGTTGCTTGTATCTGTCCTGCTCTTGCATGAGGCACCTTGGAGGCCTGGTCACTAGCAGAGGACCTGTCCCCGATTCTGGATTGCCCTGAAGCTAGAATCAGAGGATCCTGGGGTACACTGAGGCAGGATGCGGGCAGAGGGGGGGGGAGCTACAGAATTGGGACCTGAGATTTGTGGATGAGCTGAAGAGGCAGGGACTAGACCAAAGGATGCCCAGATGCTGGGGACCCTGGAGAGAATTGCTACCTGGGCTGAAATTGGTCGCTTTACTCCCTGCTCAATCTGTACATCCTCCCGACCAGCTCTGAGATCTATCTGTCCTGGATTGCCCAGAGTGGGTTAGGTCCAGGCTGAGTACTCTTTGGAAGCTGGAGTGGGACTGAGGGGAAGAAGGTCAGAACCAGGCAAGAACCAGGAAACAACGAGCGAGCAATAGCCCCTCTTGGGCTGATGAGTGGGTGGAGCCCTATATTCACTCTAGCGGGTCCAGTCCCTGCTTGAGATGGCAAAAAGGCAGGAGCCTGGAGAATGGTGAAGGCCAATGCAGATGGCATTTGTCTAGGGTGAGGGACCTCTGTGGTCCTCCCCCACCTTAACTGTGTACTTCACCTTCCCAAAGTAACAATTGTGAGGCTGGTGTAGGACTGGGCAGTTGTATATGCATGGGGCCACTAGGAGTAGGAACCGTTTCCATAGTACCTAACAAGAGACTGTATCCTTGTCCACCCAGCCCATGCCCCTGCTGCCCTGCTTTCCAGCCCACCTCTAGGAATCCCTCCCCACTCCACTTTCAAGATCAGCTATGGAGGTGGTGGTCCTGGTGCCCAGGCAGGAAAATGCTGTCCCCACCTCCTGGAGGATGTCATTCCTGACCCCTCCACCTCCTAGACTTTGGCTGCTTAAAGCAGTGGTTCTCAACCTGTGGGTCGCGACCCCTTTGGGGGATGAACGACCCTTTCACAGAGGTCGCCTAAGACAATCGGAAAACATAAATATTTCACAATATATAATTACATATTGTTTTTGTGATTCACCACTATGCTTTAATTTGTAACAATGAAAATACATCCTGCATATCAGATATTTACATGACTATTCATAACAGTAGCACAAAGTAGCAACGAAAATCATTTTATGTTTGAGGGATCACCACAACATGAGGAACTGTATTAAAGGGTCCCAGCATGAGGAAGGTTGAGAACCACTGTCTTAAAGGGACCCGGCGCTTCCTTGCCGCTGTCCAGAGCTGTGGTGCTGACCTCGGTCTGTCTGACGCTGAAGTCAGCGTTGCCTCCTTTCTGAATGATGAAGTGTTGTTTGAGGCCAGGGGCTGGGCTTATTTACAGCACAGGGCCTGGCACCCTGTGGGCACCGTGGGGCGCTGTGCCTATTTCTTTCCTCCTGCTTGTCTAGGGAGCCAGGAGAGCAGGGTCTCAACAAGCCACCTGAGTGAGGGCCTTGTTGGCACCTGTGCCCCAGGGTCCCCAGAGACCTGAGGTGGAAGGCGCTCACTTGAGAGGGTGAGGTAATGAAGGGGAGAAGGAGGGACCTATAATTGGATGCCAACTTTCGCTGTCTCCCACCCAGTTCTCCAAGGAGAAGTACATTCTGGACTCCTCACCAGAGAAACTGCACAAGGAGTTGGAGGAGGAACTCAAACTCAGCAGTACAGACCTCCGCAGCCATGCCTGGTACCATGGCCGAATCCCCCGGGAGGTGAGTGGGCCCCGAGCTGGAACCTCAGGACGACCTTCCACCTACTGCCTTGGCCCTAGTTACCATGGGGTTCTGGCCTATTGCTCGGAAGGTCCAGTCAACGTGAACTCTGCCATCTACTAACCTTGGACAAGTCATCTCTATGAACCTCAATGTCCTCCTCTGTAAAATGGGTGCATTTATGGTACCTTCGACGATGTCAATGTGCTTCACACAAGGCATGACCACCAATAAGCTCAAGTGCATGTTGGCCTGTGCTGTTTTATTGTTTCCGGTCCAAGCCTCATTCTCTTGTGTTTGTCCAGGGAGTTTTGGTCCTTGGGCTACTCCTGTTCTGACAAAGTTGAGTTTTCCGGGGTAGGTGGCTTCACAGGTGCAGACTTGGGCCAGTGGCTCTCACCACCTGTTCCCTCATTTATTTACACTGCAAACCTTGGTCAAGTGGTCGCTCTGGGCAGGCCCCATGTTGGGCAAGAGGACAGAGAGAGGAAAGATGTCGTGGTTCCTTGGCGGCCTCGTGGGTCAGGGCGGGAGCTGACCGCAGGCCTGAGAGGGAGCGCAGAGGAGGGGGACCCAGGAGAGTTAGAAAGGAGCTGGTGAGGGGGGTGGGGCAGGAAGGGCTCTTTAGGCAGAGAGGACAGCCAGAGGATATGCAGATTCCAAGACAGCCAGAGTCCCTGGTGATGGGAAATGTGGAGTCTGCACTACCCAATGGGAGCCTGGAAGAAGTGGGGCTGAGACGTGGATCTCAGATCCCAGACACCCCATCCCTACCCAGACTCCCCTGGACCCCTTCCCAAGATATTGATCTCTTCCCATTCTGGTCCTTCTGCTGAGGTGCCTCTGGGAATCTGAGTCACCATGTCCCTCTCAGGTCTCAGAGGTCTCTCAGTGCCCCTGGGTCACTGTGCCCCCAGGCCTCCCCTGTGCCTGCTCTACCCCTGCCTCACCAGGCCCTGCCCCCTTCCCAGGTCTCCGAGACCCTGGTGCAGCGCAATGGTGACTTCCTCATCCGGGATTCGCTCACCAGCCTGGGCGACTACGTGCTCACGTGCCGGTGGCGCAACCAGGCCCTGCACTTCAAGATCAACAAGGTGGTGGTGAAGGCCGGTGAGAGCTACACCCACATCCAGTACCTGTTCGAGCAGGAGAGCTTCGACCACGTGCCTGCCCTGGTGCGTTACCACGTGGGGAGCCGCAAGGCCGTGTCGGAGCAGAGCGGCGCCATCATCTACTGCCCGGTCAACCGGACCTTCCCCCTGCGCTACCTGGAGGCCAGCTACGGCCTGAGCCAGGGCGGTGGCAAGGCAGGCAGCCCCGCCAGCCCCTCGGGGGCCAAAGGTAGCCACATGAAGCGACGCAGCGTCACCATGACCGATGGGCTCACCACGGACAAGCTCACCCGTGGTGACAGCTGCCCCACCAGGTAAGCCAGGAACCCGCACTGGGCTTGTGCTCCCTGGGGGTGAAGTGAGGGTGTTGGGAACTTGAGTGGTGGTGAAAAGGTGGAGCCCCATTCACTCTGAACGGGGTGAAGTTATTGTTTGGGGACATCTGTGTGGGAAAGCACAGGAGGACAGTCAGGAGCCGAGGCAGGAAGTCCCTTTGCTGTGTCGCGTCTCCTCTATGACCCTCAAGCTCTTACTGGTAAAGGGCTCTCCCGCCAGCAGCCCTCTCTGGCTTAGAGGGCTGCTGTGCTGGTCTCCAAGGGACCCTGGGCCCTGCCACCCATCTCCACCCTACCCCTCTGCGCTCCAGTCGGCAGTGTGGAATGCATGTTTTCTGCAGCATTTAAAGAGAAGCCCACAGTAGCGGAGTACGACCAGGGCTTCAGAGGCCAGGCTGTACTGAGGGCTTTTCACGCCTGGTCTTAGTGACTCCCTCTCCCCCTGGGAGAGGGGAGAGGGAGGGCCCACCACCACCACCACTGTCATAGATAGGTCAGCAGGTGAATGGAGGGAAATTCACTTGCTACAGAATGACATGACCAGGATTCAGACTTGGAAGTCTGGGCCCCTAGTTGCTATGGGCCCCTCTGTCCAGATCTTTGCAGAGAGACCCCATGACCTGTGCCTCCCAGACCTGGGGAAGCCCCATAGCCCCACCTCCTTAGACCTCGGCTGGCTGTTGTCGCCGGCAGCAGAAGAATTGATGGACATTGGCCAGCAGCCACTTGGTCTGTGGTTTGGAACCAGTGACTGTGATGGGGCCAGGCGCCACAGCCATGTGTGCACAAGGTGTCCTGAGCATGTGTGCAAGCAGAGGGGAGGGCCCAAGCCAGCCAGCCACTAGCTAGCTGTTGACACCAGGCAGGGAAGGGTACAGGTGTGCAGGTTGTGGACTACACAAGAGATTGTTTGCCCAGGGGCAGAACAGAGCTGAAACTCAGCCCGCCCACCTGTTCATCAAGCAGAGGGAGTGTGGTGGACTCATCTGCACGAAAGCACCAATGTGGGCTAGTCAGGGTGCTGGCTGTCACCCTGTATCTCTGGGGATGCTGTGCTGAACCGCAGGCTCTCAGACTTCCGTGTCCCTCCTGCCCAGGGCATCCCCAGACAAGCTTCTCAGGCTGCTCTCAGCCTTCTAGGAGGGAAATGCTTGGTGGTGGTTGTGGGGGGAGGTCGAAGAAGGGTGGGACCAAAGAGACAACAGGTGAGTGAAAGCAGACACTAGACCGTGCCAGCTTAAGGCCTGCTGGGTTCCCACCTCTGCTCTGAACTTGCCGTGGGGCCTGTTAAGCCCTTCCTCCTTTTTGTTTTTTCACCTGCCAGTTGCAAGGTAGGACTTGGTGTCCTCAGTCCTTCCTGGCTCCGAAGTTCACGGGATTGAGGATCTCCCCTGCCCTGCCCTGCTCCCCACTCATGAAGGTGTCTGCTCTGCTCCACAGCACGTCACTGCCCCACCCCCGGGGGGAATCCATCCGCAACTGTGCCCTCAGCATGGACCAGATCCCAGACCTGCACTCGCCCATGTCCCCCATCTCCGAGAGTCCCAGCTCCCCTGCCTACAGCACTGGTATGGCCCAGGGAGTGGGGAAGGGCCGGGCGGGTTTGTTCAGGTGCACAGGCAGGTGTGCGTGTGTGCATGTATGCGCGTGTGCTGCCTTTGATGACTTCTGTGGCTGGTGTGGCGCAGTGGGTTGGCAGTGGACTGTTACCTCAAGGTCAGCAGTTAGAAGCTACCAGCCGCTGCTCTGCAGTAGAAAGAGGAGGCTTTCTGTTCCCATAGAGAGTCACGGTCTCAGAAATCCACAGGAGCCCCTCTACCCCATCCGACAGGGCCGCTCTGAGTCAGAATTGACTGGATGGCAGTGAGTCTTATTAGCTGGTGCGTGGTCATTTTGTGCCCCAACTTCGTCATGCCCTACAAGAATCTATTAGCAATCAGCTTGTGGAACTCTTGTCAAGTTAGAGCGATCGCCGGGGCTTGTTCATTCCGTCCTGCCTTGAGTTCCCAGCGTGTGCTCTAGAATTCGACCAGCTCTGGGCCAGAGCCCGGTGCTGCCGGCCTGCACTCAGATGTGCCACATTTCACCAGTGTAACAAACCTGAGCCCCCATCGATCAGGCTCTGACTGAGCGCAGGCTCTGGGCAGGGCCCTGCATTGGCTGGGACGCCAGCGACACGGTTTCATGGGTCCACAGGCCCAGCTCAAACCAAATGAGTTGGGCTGTGCTTTTATTGTTATTATTTTTTAATTAAGATAACGTTTCTATTTTACTGCTGGGGAAAAAAGAAAATGGTTCTCCATCAGCCATTTTGCCACGTGGCGGGCAAAGTGCCTCCCGAGAGGGGGGACCCCAAGGCCACCGTTCTGTTGCAATGGTGTTGCCACAAATCCTTCTCTGGACGTAGGGCCCCAAACTCGGTGGTAGGGTCCCAAACTGCTCCTTGGGAGAAAGACCAGGTTTTCTTCTCCCGTTAAGAGTTATAGCCACAAAAACTCGCAGGGGCAGTTCCACCCTGTCTTTCCAGGGTCGCTATGAGTCGGCATTAACTCAATGGCAGTTGGTTTGGTTTGGTGGGATACTAACATAGCTCAGGAGTCACGCTTTGAAACCTGCTTTGATACCTGCTTTGAAACCCCAGCTCCACCACTTGCTGGCTATGGGGCCCAAGTTATCCCAAACTACCACCAACATTTAGTTGGTTTGCCAGAGTCAGGCTTGGCGCCCACCTTCTTTCTGAGGGGAGCTGGGGTGCTCTCTTGTAAAGGTGGAACTTGCCCTTTGGGGGTGTGGGAACCTCACAGATGAGGAGCCCAGTAACCAATTTTCTCCCTCTCTGTGCAGTGACCCGTGTCCATGCCACTCCCGTGGCCCCCTCTGCCACAGCACTGCCTGCCTCCCCAGTCACCCGCCGCTCCAGCGAGCCCCAGCTGTGCCCTGGAAGTGCCCCAAAGCCTCATGGGGAGTTGGACAAGGGCCCCCATGCCAGCCCCTCCCACAGCCTCTGCAAGGCTTCCCCATCGCCATCACTCAGCAGCTACAGCGACCCGGACTCTGGCCATTACTGCCAACTCCAGCCGCCCAGCCAGGGGAGCCGGGAGTGGGCAACGGTGGAGGGCTCCAGCCGGCAGGCCCGGAGCTATGGAGAGAAGCTGAAGGACCTGTCAGAAAATGGGGCCCCTGAAGGGGACTGGGGAAGGACCTTCACAGCCCCTGTAGTGGAAGCCACATCTTCCTTCAACCCAGCCACCTTCCAGTCCCTTCTGATCCCCAAGGACAACCGGCCACTGGAGGTGGGCCTCCTTCGCAAGGTCAAGGAGCTGCTAGCAGAGGTGGACGCCCGGACACTGGCCCGGCATGTCACCAAGGTGGACTGCCTGGTACGTGTTGGGTGCACTGAGTAGGGAGGGGCAGCAGGGGCAGCCCTGCAGGGGGCTTTGGAACAGGAGTCAGAGTGATGAGGGGCTGGCCTGAGTCACATTCCCTGAGTCACTTTGTCTCCTTTCCAAAAGCAAAATATGAGAAATTCTTGGTTCCTCCCAGTGGGAATTCTTGGGGTACTTCTCTGGGCATCTCAGAGTCTAACTGCTGGGAGCAAGTCACCGGGACCAGATGAGGGCCGACTGCCCGCCCCCACGCCCCCTAGTGGGACGATAAGGAAATACTACTTGGGTCCCGCATTACTGTGCCTTGCTTTGTGGGCATCTTTGGTCATCCAAGGAGCCCAACCAACCCGTGCCTCCGTTTCTGCCTTGTGCCCCGGGGGTGCTGGTTTCCTGGTCTCGCAGACCCCAGGGTGCAAGAAACAAGAGGCAGGGTAGACACGTTGCTTCGCGAGCCCTTTCTCTCCTTGAGCCGCGAGTTTGCCTTCGGGAATAAGGGTGCCTTGGTCCTTAATCCTAAGTGGGTATTTCACTTGCCTGGCACCGCTAGGCATCTCCCCATTTATGTCCCGTTCACAGGTGGGAAAACTGAGGCTCACCCAGAGAGGTGGAATCCCTTGTCGGCGGGTTGGCAGCGGAGATGGGATTGAAACTATACCTTCCAGGGTGTCCTTGAAAATAAACTCTGACTCCCAGACGGCTTGGACCATTCCTGACAGGTTATTAATCAGCCCTCTGGGCGTCCTTGCAGGTTGCTAGGATACTGGGCGTTACCAAGGAGATGCAGACCCTAATGGGTGTCCGCTGGGGCATGGAGCTGCTCACCCTCCCCCACGGCCGGCAGCTACGCTTAGACCTGCTGGAAAGGTAAGGCAAACAGCAGCACGTGGGGACCCGCAGGGAACGCCCCCCACCTTCCCTTTTGCTGTGGCTGGGTGACCAATCACAGTCTCTCTGCCCGCCTCCCAGGGCTCTGACCCCGCCCCCAATCATATTGACCAATCACAACTTCTCAAGAGCTGGCCCTCCGTGACGTGGTTCCCAAAGATCCGCCCCCCTCCAGCTTTTTGCATCTCTTTAACCAATCGCAGCCCATCGACCCCGCCCCTCCGCCCTGCCTTCTAGCGCGCTGAAACCGCCCGGCCTGCTGGATCGTAGGGCTTCATCACAGGCCCCGCCCCTGGTTCATACGGACCAATCACGAAATCTCAGGGCCCGGGAGGTGGGGGGGTGGCGGCGGGGCGGGGGGCTCTCGCCCGTTTGGCTTTGCACCGCCCAACAGCGAGAAGGGCCCGCCCCAGCCCCGCCCCCTGACCGGTCGCTCCCACAGGTTCCACACCATGTCCATCATGCTGGCCGTGGACATCCTGGGCTGCACGGGCTCGGCGGAGGAGCGGGCGGCGCTGCTGCACAAGACCATCCAGTTGGCGGCCGAGCTGCGGGGGACCATGGGCAACATGTTCAGCTTCGCTGCCGTCATGGGCGCTCTGGACATGGTCCAGGTACTGACTGGGGGGCCGCGCCTGGGGCGGGGAGGGCATCTAACCCGGGACGCGTTCCTTTGCTGTCTAGCGAATGGGGGAGAGCGTTGTGCTTTTCTCGACAGCATTGGGCAACTGGACAAATCAACGGGAGAGGGGGCCAAGTCCTTTCCTCCTCTGGCCCTCTGTCTCCCCCTGTGTGACAAGAAAGGAACAGTATGGACCTTTTTAGAGGAAAACTCACACGAGCGTTGTTACCATCTGCTAGCTGCATGCCTCAGCAATCCCTCCAGACACCTTCTCGGGAGCTGCTTCTTTGTCCCCAGAGTTAGACATGGAGCCACGTGTTTTACTCGAGTCTGACCCCTACCCACAAGACACGGACGCTCCAATGCCTAATGAGTAGCAACAGGATCCCTGACACCTTGTCTTGGGTCCCACACCCAGCTCTACCCCCTATTTCCTGAATGACTTTTGGCAAGCCAGGCTACTCCTTAGTTTCCTCATCTGTCACATGGGTGTTCTGAAGGCGTCCTGGCATACATTTGGAAAGCAGCCAGCCACCTGTCTGGTACCTGAGTGGGGACCACAAGAATGAGGACTCGGGTGCTGGCTTTCCATGCAGTGGCGTTGCAGGCGGTCCAGTGACCCCTGGCTGCCTGCTCACAGTCCCGTCTCTCCAGATCACCCGGCTGGAGCAGACCTGGGTGACCCTGCGGCAGCGCCACACAGAGGGCGCCATCCTGTATGAGAAGAAGCTCAAGCCGTTCCTCAAAAGCCTCAACGAGGGCAAAGGTACCCTCCCCATCCGGCTGGGTGACTTTGGGTGGCTTTCAGCCCTCTCTGTGGGTGGCGGCGATGTGGGCTGGACTGAGCTCTGAGCACACCCTATTCCTCCTGAGCTCACCTTGTGTATCTGGCACATGGGTACACAGAGCCCCAGGGAAGGTTTGTCCCAGGAGTCGAGCGCTGGAAGCTCTCTGGGGCCCTTTCAGGCTCTCTAAGCACCTGCTGTCTCCCGCCCTGCAGAAGGCCCTCCGCTGAGCAACACCACGGTTCCCCACGTGCTTCCCCTCCTCACCCTCCTGGAGTGGGACTCCGCCCCCGCGGAGGGGCCTGAGCCCTGGGGCAGCACCGAGCACGGCGTGGAGGTGGTGCTGGCGCATCTAGAGGCTGCCCGCACGGTGGCGCATCACGGAGGCCTGTATCACACCAACGCTGAGGTCAAGCTGCAGGGTGAGTGACAGGTCACATCTGTCAGGAGGTGGGAAGAAGGGAGAGAGAAGAAGCCACTGATCCTGTGGTCTGGGCTTCTCTCCACCTGGCTTGCTGCCTCACCCCACCCCACCCCACTTCTTTTTCTCCATATGCCCACCTGCTTCTCCCCACTCCTCTTTCCCAGCCTGCCTCCCATCTCCTTTCTTCGTCCTCTCCCTTCACTCCCTGGTTAGTTCGCCAGCGTCTAGGAGTGGCAGGCGCCATGCTGGGGTGGGGGGCACACAGAGGGTTCCGAGAGCACCTCAGCTATGTCTTGGTTTCCCTGAGCCTCCGTTTCCTCTTGTACCCGCGTGTCTGCAAAGCACGTGGGCCTGGGGGCCTGGCGCACAGACCGATCTCCCTGTCTCAAAACTCCCGGCCGTGAGTCGATGCCGACTCAGAGCAGCCCTAAAGGACAGGGTGGCACTGCCCCTGGGGGGTTCTGAGGCTGCCCCTCTCTCTGGAAGTGGAAAGCCTCATGCTCCCCCTAGACTCTGGCTAGTCCAGAGGTGGACCATCCCCCATGAAAGGAGCAGAGAGAGCCCGGGCTTCAGACAATCCTCTGTTGTCCTAGAAAGGCATAAGTCATAACAACCACGCTGGACACACTGGACGTTACAGCCGAGCAAACACGTGGCTAAAAAAAAAAAAAGCCACTCACAATGTAATTACCCAGAAGCAGATGCGCAAATGCTCTGAGCATTCTGCGCTGTCTCCTGTTGCCTTCTCTTTTTTCAGAGGGTGGGAGTCTTTAACACTTATTGACATCATTGATACATTAAAAAAATCAGAACCCAAAGGATTTACAAAGAAAAGCAAAACCACCCACGGTGTCAGAAACATTGTTAGCATTAACAGTTAATTTTCTAGTCATCGTGAAAGGCTATGTTCCAAATAGTAGGTCAGCGAAAACCGCAGCCGAATCAAGCTCTCTGCCACCGAGGGACTCCTGTGCCCAGAGCTGAACTGCCCCCGACGGTTCCTAGGCGCTGGTGTTTAGGGGCACGGGTCCCAGGTCTTCTCTCCCAAGCACAGGCTGGGGGATTGGAACCGGCAACCTTTGGTTAACAGCCAAGTGCTTAACCACTGTGCCACCAGGGCTCCTCCCGTAGGCTGGAGGTTAAGTGCTAAGCAATGCAGTTATGTTCATTCAACACCTTCTGGGAATGCTGAGGGGGCTGGGGAAAGTTCTCAGAAAAGGAGGCCTGAGGGTGCCAGTGGTGATGGTGGACCCCTGACCTCTGTGCCCTCGCCCTGCAGGGTTCCAAGCCCGGCCGGAGCTCCTGGAGATCTTCAGCACCGAGTTCCAGATGCGCCTCCTCTGGGGCAGCCAGGGCGCCAGCAGCAGCCAGGCCCGGCGCTATGAGAAGTTCGACAAGGTGCTCTCAGCCTTGTCCCACAGACTGGAGCCTGCCATCCGCTCCAGCGAGCTGTGACCTCCAGGGACCTCCCTGCTCTGCAGCTGCGGGCAGCATCAGGGGCAGAGAGGGGCACTGACTTTCACAGCATCCCTCAGGACACTGACCAGTGTGACTGGGTTCAATTTCAAGGTCCCCCTTGCTCCCCCAGGGCCCTGCATGGATGCTGGGCTCTGTTCCACCTGCTACAAAGCTCATCGCGTCTTCCTCCAGGAAGAACCAGAGTCTCCGATCCTCCCAGCAGCCTCTGCTTCACTTCCTGCCCAAGTTCCCTTCACTGAGCCATGTGAGGCTCCACGCCTCCTCATACCTCTCCAGGCACCTGCTCCCTCAACCATCCCACTGCCACCAGGGCCTCCATCATGCTGTAAATAACTTGTTCTGTAAATAAGCTGTACAGAAGCCATGTTTTTTCTTTCGTATAATAAACTTTTATGACTCTTTCTCTGTATGTCAAGGAGGGTCCCTTGGGTGGAAGGACACACTTAGGTGAAAAGCAGAAATATTTATTCAGCAAGTATTTATTGAGCACCTGAGGCATCCCTGGCTGCCAGGATCCAGGAGTCCAGCAAGTACTAAAACCTCAAGGAGCTCACAGACCAGCTGGGGAGATAAAACAAGCAGGTACAACCAAGAGGGAGAGACGCCGGCCTGACTCCTCATTCCGACCCCGTCCCTTGTCCCTGGAAGCCAGACTGACAGTTTCCGCAAAAGCACCACCGGGCAGTTGAGATGTCTGGGGTAGAAGGGCTCTTTGAAAACCAAGGACTGCAGGGGAGAGGGGAAACACTGAAGTTCTCCACATTTCTCTCCTTCATCGTGTGATCTCTGCTGTTGCTATTTCATCAGCCTTTGAAATGTGGCCCTGGAAGTCTGTGTGTGTTTACAGGGATGAGGCTGAGGGAGGAATTTCTGAAGTGGGCCAAGAAGACCGTCGTCTTGGATACCTGATGCCACTGGGTTAGGGGAAGTAGGTAACTCAATTCCAGAACAGGATAGAGGCTTGAGGAAGCTGTTCACTGACATTTAAATCTTTAAGGCCCTTTGTTTAAAAGTACTTTGACCAAGATAGGCTGCAGAGCATAACTTGTATTAGATGTTTGCTGGCAACCAGACCTGGATTCAATTCCACTCATTAGCTGTGACCTTGGATAGTGGTTTTACCTCGTTACTCCCCACTTTCCTCAGTAAAATGGGCACACAACATAGATCTCCTAAGGTTGATTTTTAAAGCACGTGGCACATTGTTGCAGCTAGATTTTTTTTCATACGCGTGGGTTGGCACTGAATATTTTTTTATTACCTTCTGAGCCCAAACACATCGAAATAGTACAATTTCTCTGCATGGCAGGTGCCATATACATAGGGCATGTCATATACACAGGGCACCTAATGCTAACAGTGAGGGCCCTGGTGGCACTAATGGTTAAGTGCTGGAGAGCTAGGGGGTTCACGGCTGAGTGCGAAAATCCACGTGGAAAGAATACAGATACAGGGCAGGAAGCCATGATTGTGGAACTATGAAATCCCAGGGGCCCAGAGGGAGGCCTCAGTAGGAGCTCGGGCCCTAGGGCCCAAGCAGGAAAGAATCCCAACCTGCCAAGCAACACCTGAGAGAGAGAGGCGGGCTGCTTTTACTCCTACTGGCTGGGGAGGCGTGCTTGAGGGTATTGGCTGATCTTAGGGCTGAATTTAAGCCCACCTGTGTGATGTCATGTGACTGGGCCTAGTCGGTGTGCCCAGGTGGACCTCTCACTGGGGCCTAAGGGGCTTGTGTGTGAGCATGCTCAGTTTGGATCTTTCCCTAGGTGTCTAATGGGTGCATGGTTTCTTTCCAACCCGTATGCGGGCATTGGAGAGACAACCCCCCTTAGTCCCTCTTCTGGCTGCCTACCACTATGAGTCAGAATCCCCAGATGTCTGTGAGTGAGTAATGGAGATCAGTTCTCCTCCTTATGAGTCAGGAATAAACTCCACGGTAACTAGCAAACAACCTTACCCATACAATAAGCCGTAGCAGGATTTCTAAGCATTTGCGCAATAAGCCATCCCCCCAAATAAGACAAAGTGATAGGCGTGGCTCTGAGCATACTGGCTGGCGTGGAGCAGTCACGGAGACCACCAGCCCTTCTCTGCCCCATCGTGACAGCTGCTATCTCGGAGGGGACCGGACAGGTGCGGGCAGCCCCATCCACAAGGTCGGTTCCCCCGTCAGATCCTTCCTGGTCTGCGCGTGCTGCAAGCAGAGGCACAGAGGGAGACATGGACAGTTTGGGTCAAAGTCTCCTCCGGGAAGTGAGGGGCAGGACTCTCTGCTTTAGGGGTGTGTGTCCTCGCGGGGGGGAAAAAGGAAAGTGGTGGCCACCGTTTGACTCAGCACTGTGGGTTGGTGTTCTAGAAGACAACGACTTAACTATATTTGAATCAGTGTCGATTGTTGTACCATACTTAATAAAAAATAAGGCAATCCCCTAAAAATAAACCATAGTGTGTCTTCTTGAGGAAAAATAAATATAAGGCAGTGTCTTAATTTCGGGGAAACACGGTAATAGCACGTAGTCGATCCTCAGAGGCCTGGTTGTGTCGTGGTTACACGTTGGGCTGCTGGCTGCAAGGTCATCAGTTCGAAACCACTGCTTTCTACTCGGGTGACGTTACAGTCTCAGAAACCCACAGGGGCAGTCGTACCCTGCTCTATAGGGTTGCTACAGTATAGTGAGGTTTGTTTGTTTATTTGTATTAAGTAGGTGTTCATCAAAGCTATTAGCGAGCACTTTTTTTTTTAGTGAGCCCTTCTTTGTTAGGAAAAAAAAGCAGAAAGGGGCGTTTTTCACGATACAAAGTGCCACACGTGTGTTTGCTATAATTGTTACGTCATCTTTTGCGGTCCAATCCTTCATTACGTCAGAGCGACTGCGCTGGTCTCCTTGTTACTGTCGCTATGGAAACGGCCCCTGATTGGACGATTCCAGGGCTCCCCCTGGAGGCTGCCTTCCGGTCCTGCTGCGGGGCTAAGGGGCGGGCCTGTGAGCCAGGTAAGAGGGGAGCCGGGAGTTGTAGGCAACAGGCGGTGGCTGCCGCGGAGCAATGTACGCCGGGAGTGGTAGTTTTCGGGGGACGCGGCTGGTGGCCCTGGACCAAGTTGGGGCTCCACCTGGATGGCGGCTGCCACGCGCGGCTGCTGGCCTTGGGGCTCGTTCCTCGGGCTACTCGGGCTGGCCTCGGCGGCAGCCGCCGCCTGGGACTTGGCTTCTCTGCGCTGCAACTTCGGCGACTTCTGCGAGTGCGACTTCCGGCCCGACTTCCCGGGTAAGCAGTCGCTGGAGTCCCGGCGTCCGGGACAGTCGGGGCCCCTAAGGGAAGGACCGCCAGGGCAAGGTCTCCAGACCCGAGAGCTAGCGTAAGGGCTTGGGGCGACATACTGGGGTCTGAACCGAGCCTTGCCAGGCTGGAGCCTTGGACAACATAGCGCTTGTGGGGATGCTCTAGGCGTCCACACAGTGGACTTGTCCTCAGGAGAGTAGCCTGCCTTGGGGATGGGCAAGGGGCCTGGGGCCGGCCGGTGGATATCGCAAACCGGGCTGACTGCAAACCGAATGCCTGCCTGGTGGGGCCGCTGCCTGGCTGAACCAGGTCCTGAAGGTGGTCCTGTAGCCCCAACCCCTGAAAGACCCCACTTCCTTTCTATAGACAACGTGTGAAATAAAGCCCCAGAATGTAGGGGCCCCTAGACCAGGCTGCCCCCTGAAAACCTCTTCCTCGGTGGGGGTGTGCCAACGGCTCTGACGCTGCCCTTCTGTGGCCCTAGGTCTGGAGTGTGATCTGGCCCAGCATCTGGCCGGCCAGCACTTAGCCAAGGCGCTGGTGGTGAAGACGCTGAAGGCGTTCGCTCGGGACCCAGCCCCCACCAAGCCGCTGGTCCTCTCCCTGCATGGCTGGACAGGCACTGGCAAGTCCTATGTCAGCTCCCTGCTGGCACACTACCTCTTCCGAGGTGGCCTCCGCAGCCCCCATGTACACCATTTTTCCCCGGTCATCCACTTCCCCCATCCTGGCCACATTGACCGCTACAAGGTAGGCTGGGTGGTCCCGGACCACCATTCCTCCCTACTTTGGGTTACAGATTCTACAGTGGGCCCCGAGCCCTGGGGGGAGGGGGATGGCCGAGGAGGAAGCCTGTTGCTTCAGTCCACATAGCCAGTTGGAGGCTCAGCCCGCAGGACCCATCCTGAGGAAGGCTTGGGATGGCACCATTTTTACCTGGGTGCTCTCCCTTTCTGGAGGTAACTAATGGTAACAGTGTGGAGTAGTGCAAAGGGACTTGTAATTCTTATGTGATTGAAGGCATCGTGTATCTTGCACTTTCGTGTGCCAGTCTGCTTTGCCCTGCCCTGGAAATCACTTAGCCCCATTGTGGCCCAGTAACCACTCAGTTCGAATTAGCTCCAGTCCTTGGTTGGTCTGTTTCAACTGTCCACACCATTAGGATGGTTTATGGAGCAGGAAAGCGCTTTCTCCTTTGGTAGAAAGCAATAGGCGCCCTGCGAGGAGCCCTCAACATGGAAATGGGAGACCTGGTTTTGAACCCTGTTCTCCTGTGACCTTGGGCAAGTTCCTGCCCCTCTCTGGGCCACCACGAAAGGGTTGGTACTTTCTAGGACAGCGGTTCTCAACCTGTGGGTCACGACCCGTTTGGGGGGGTGTCAAAAACCCTTTCACAGGGGTCCCGTAGACCATGGGAAAACACATAAATATTTCACAATGTATAATTACATATTGTTTTGCGATTCATCACTATGCTTTAGTTATGTTCAATTTGTAACAATGAAAATAAATCCTGCATATCAGATATTTACATGACGATTCGTAACAGTAGCAACATTACAGTTAAGAAGTAGCAACGAAAATAATGTTATGGTTGGGGGTCACCACAACATGAGGAACTGTATTCAAGGGTCGTGGCATTAGGAAGGCTGAGAACCAGTGTTCTAGAACATCACCCTGTGAAGGCTTAGTTCTTGTCTTGGGAAGAAGTCTGGGGTTAGGGTAATGTCTCCAGGCCCCTTCGACTCCTATTTCTACCTCACAGAAGGATCTTAAGAGCTGGATCCAGGGCAACCTCACTGCCTGTGGCCGCTCTCTCTTCCTCTTCGATGAGATGGACAAGCTGCCCCCGGGCCTGATGCAGGTCCTTCGGCCTTTCCTGGGCCCCTCCTGGGTCGTGTATGGGACCAATTATCGCAAAGCCATCTTTATCTTCATCAGGTGAGGCCCCCCTTTGCAGAGAGCACAGTTGGAAGGGCACTTTTTAGAAGTCCCAACTCCATTCCAGGCCTGTGGTCCCACAATGGAAACACTGCCCCCCTTGGGCCCAGTTGGGGTTCCCCAGACTCCCCACATTCTTGCTGGTGGCATTGTCATTTTTAGTGGTTGGGGTCTCCCGTGGCCATTTTTAAAAGATACTCTTATTTCTATTTAACTTGGATATGCAAGTATTGCTCTCTACCACTAAGTTTTGCTTATAATTACAGTTTCGTTTCACATTACAAAGGACAATAAAAAGACAACTTGGTGAAGCTCTAATTACAATAGCAATATATATAGATAATTTTTTTTAAAGCCTAAGTGGAGCTAGTGCCTCTTCAGTTGGAAGAATGTTTATCATGCTGGCCCCAAGGTTGACTTCATAATTGTGTTTCTTTGAAAATTATGTGCGGTTTTAAGGAGCCGTGTACAGGCAAGGGGTGGAATGCGATGGTTCGTGCGGTATGTCATCGTGTTGTGCTTCCCATTGGCTGTGCAGTGATCTAACCCTGTAGTCATTCTCTAGTTTGTGATCACCCGGGAGGAATAAGGAGGTCTAGTGGCACTGAGAGCTAAGTGTTGGGCTGGAAACTGCAAGGTCAGTGGTTCAAACCCACCAGGAGAAAGATGGGGCTGGCTGCTCCCTAAGGACTGAGTCTGAGAAGTCCACTACGTTGAGTTGACATCAACTGGATGCCTGTGGGTTTCATAGTAGCATAGTGTGCTGTCATCCGATCAGGATGGTTCCCCGGAGGTGTGGCCTGTACACACACACACACACACACACACTTTAGCAGCATGCTTGTGTGCTTGCTTTAGGGCCTGCACTTACTTCCCTCATTCTCATCTGACTGCCTGCTCTTGGGAGCCACCGGCTGATCTGACTGTCTTATAGCCCTTTGCGTGTCCCTCTTTTGTGGCCAGGCCACGGGCCTGGGAAAAGCAGGACAAAGGATCTCGTCGCAGCCTCAAGCATCTTGGCTGTTTCCTCAGGCCATCCCGTCCCCTCTCTCGGGAGCTTCTGAGTAGTGCCCCCTCTCCAGAGCCCTGGGGCCGCGCAGCTCAACCCCAGCCAGGGGCTCCACGGGACAGGAGGAAGACCTGTGATCCGGCCCGTAAGGAGCACAGCTCTCTTGAGGGGTACCTGGCTGCATCCCTCCCTCAGGGCTGGGAGGAAAAGCCAGCACAGGGCCAGCAGGGGTGTTGTCAGGGCAGGGCCACGTGATTGCTGTGAGCTACAGGGGCCACAGGTACAGACGCATGTGCTGAGAGGTGTGGTTCCCCGAGGAGTGTTCCAGTGGCTTTGACTCTTGCCGGCACTGTGCTGGGCCTGGGACCAGGCCCGGCTGTGTTTCGATAGCACCAGGGCAAAGAACCAAAAACAAAAAAACCCAAACAACTCAAACCCTGCCGCCGATCGAACTTTTAGGACCGGGCAGAACTGCGGGTGGCCCAGACCATAACTCTGTGGGGTAGAAAGTTCTTTTTCTTCCCGAGAAGCAACTGGTGGTTTTGAACTTAGCAGCCCACTGGGTCCCCACTGTGCCACCCAGGTTTCCTCGTGGCGTCAGGGCAGCGGTGGGGGGGGGGGGCACATCCTATGCCCTGTCAGTTACACCCAGTCTGAGTCCCGCCCCCACCTTCCCCTCTGCGTTTTAGCAACACTGGCGGCGAGCAGATCAACCAGGTTGTGCTGGAGGTGTGGCGCAGCCGGCGGGACCGCGAGGACATCAGCCTGCAGGAGCTGGAGCCGGCCATCTCTAGGGCTGTGCTGGACAACCCGCACCGTGAGTTCCTCCCTTGAACCCCCTCCCAGGGGCAGCTTCACTGAGGGCCCAAGGGCCAGGCTCCCGGGGCCTAAATCTCTGCCCGCTGACCAGGTAGTTCACCACTCAGACTCGGTGCTCCCTACTTGATGACCTGGGGGCAATCACACCACTCCCCTGAGCCAGAACCCTCCAAAGCTCACACTCCATGGCCCTCGGGAGGCCCGGGGTGATGTGGGAGGGGGGGTCTGGGCTTCCCCAACCTGTGACCTGGGGGACCTTTCCCTGCCTGCAGATGGCTTCTGGCGCTCCGGTATCTTGGAAGAGCACCTCCTGGACGCCGTGGTGCCCTTCCTCCCGCTGCAGCGGCACCATGTGCGGCACTGCGTGCTCAACGAGCTGGCCCAGCTGGGCCTGGAGCCCCGGGAGGAGGTGGTGCAGGCCGTGCTGGACAGCAGCACCTTCTTTCCGGAGGACGAGCTGCTCTTTTCCTCCAACGGCTGTAAGACCGTGGCCTCCCGGATCGCCTTCTTCCTCTGAGCCTCGGCGGCCTTCTCGCTCTCTGCCACGCGGCTGGGCCGGCTGGGAGAGCCCTGCCCCACACTTCCTGGACCGTGGGGCCCAGAGCCCAGCGGGAGAAGATCAGACCAGTGTGGGCTAGGCCACGGCCCAGGGCCGGGGCAGGCCCCGGCTCCCAGCTGCTTTTCAGGGTCTCTTGGCCTTCCGTCTCCCCCAAGCATACCTCTGGTCAGCCCAGAACCTCACTGGGACCTGACCCTTGCTCATGAGCCTGTCTTGAACTGTCACTCAGGGCCTGTGGCCTGTGGCTGCATCCTCCCTCGAGGGGTTATTTACCCTCCCCGCTCCCCCCCCCCCCACCCCCACCTGCGCCGTGGAACCAGGCTGGGACTGCTCAGCCCCCCACAGACAAAGGCCCTCAAACTGCCCTTGGACCTGGTTTGTAAAGTTTTTAACGTTGTCAAAGAAGAGAACAAGTTCAATAAACTTGGCCCTGGAGCCAGAGAAACGGCGGGGGTGTGTGATCACTCTGCCCAGTGGGCGGGCACTTCTCTTCCCGGTGGCCCTTCAGGGAGCAGGCTTCCTGCTGGGACTGCGGCCATCAGTCTTGGTGGTGCTGGGGCTCTGCTTCCGAGCCAGGCTGGCCTCTCTCTGGTTGTGGGGCTGGGCAGATGTGTTCTTGAGGAGTTGGCTGGGACTCTGCATGGGCTCGGTCTTGCTGGGGCCTTGGGTAGCCTTCTTCTTGCTAGGACTTTGGCTCTGGCTCTGGGTAGACTCAGTCCTTTGGGGACTCTGGCTTGGGCCAGATGTGACCTCGGTCCTACTGAGGCTCGGGCTGTGTCCCTGGGCAGCTTTCTCCTTGCCAGACTTCTGAGAGAACACTTTTCTCTTGCTGGGAATTGGGCTTTGTTTCCCATTCTGGTCCTTGGCGGCACTGACCACCAGGGGCCTCTGACTGAGGTCACAGAAACCTTTGGTCTTGCTGGAGCTTCGACTCAGCCCCCAGCTCTGGCCCTGGGCAGGGAACTTGCTTCGCTCCCGGTTCCGGTTCTGGGCAGCCTTGGCCTTCCTGAGCCTCTGCCTTGGGGCCTTGGGGCCCTCGGTCTTGCTGGGTCTCTGACTTGAGGCCTGGGGGCCCTCGGTCGTGGTGGCCCTCGAGGCCTGGGGGGTCCTGGTCTTGCTGGGCCTCTGCTGTGGGCCCTTGGAGTCCTTGGTCTGGCCAAGGCTCTGGCTCTGTCCCGGTGCGGGCTTGGTTTTGCTAGCATTCTGCTGTAGACTTGCGTCCTTCCTGTTGACCTCAGAGTCCGAGAGTGGACTCTTGGGCAGTGAGGAGTCAGAGGACGTCAGGGCAGTGGACGAAATGCTTCTATAGATGGTGGATGCCTCTGTCTCTGAGAGGGATGCAGCCGTGACTGGAGAGAATGCCAAGATCTCCTGTCAGGTGTCTCCCAGAGTTCAAGGCCCACCCCCGCTGCCCCTGGACACCTCTGGGAGAAGCAGACCCCAGAGCTCATCCTTGCTTCCTCCTTGCCTCCCTCCCCATAAGCCAAGGAGCAAGCCTGCCAGAATACACCAGCCCCACCCCACTTCCCTGGGCAACCTGAGCCAAGGGACCCAGGCCCCTCCCCGCCAGCCCCCTGCCCTCCCCTACCTGGCTTCTACTTTGTGCAACCCCTAGACTCTTGGCCCCTGAATGCGGCAGCTCCCCTCGCCCCACAACTTCCCACACTCACTAACGCCTTTCGAAGCCCCCTAGACGCCACAAAGCCCCTGGTCTACGCTCTCTCACACCAGGGGGTTCAGAAAGTTTGTGGGAAAATGGAATAAAAGGAGGATTTTCCCGTGAACTTTTTGAAGCCCCCTCAGATGTGCTGTCTTTTTACCCTAGGACCGGCCTCGCTATCAATGGCACAGGCTGGCCAGCACCACTCCCTCCCTCTGAGGACAGACACTGATCGGAGGCAGGAGGCTGGTCGCTGCCCACTGTCCCTGCCATGGACTGCTCTCATAGCCTGGGGGTCTGCCGAGCCACCTCCCTGAGCCTGGGTCCCCCAGCGTCCTAGATGGGTGGAGGGTGAAAGCCCGTATTTTCGTGCCTGGGAGGCTTTGGTTCCGTGCTGGGCATGGTCTCCCTGGGCCCTCAGCATGCCCTCCACAGTGAGGACAGGACGATTCTTTGCCGCTCCAGAGTTGTCTCGCACAAGTGGCAGAGCCCGTGGTCACGCCTACGAGCACGCCCAGCTCAAACCCTGCCCACTAGCCTTTCCCACTCTAGCCTGAAAGGGGCACCGGGGACTCACAGCCAAAGATGGAGCCCGAGGAGGTCCGGTCGAGGTAGCCACTGGACAGGGAGGTCTTCCTCTTGGGGGGCAGCTTGGTTCCCTCCTCCTGTGGCAGCAGACAGGCTTGGGGGACTCTGGGCCAGGGGCCACAGCCCTGAAGGGCCCTGGGACCCTTTCGTGGTCAGTCTTCAAGCTGGGTGTTTCCTTAAGGATGAGGCTCAGATGGGGACAGGGAGATGCACGGCCACATGGGAAGGAGAGTGGCCAGTCCAGCAGGCATGGGCCTCAGTCTCCTGATCAGCAAAATGAGCCCCAGCCCTACGCACACTGTAAAGTGCTGTGTCCTGGTGAGTGGTGTGAGAAACTGCTGGGTGGCTACCTGCTCCCCGGCCTTCCCCCAGCTTGTCCACGGTATCTGGCAGGGGCTTCCTGCTCTGCCCGTGGCACAGGTCAAGAGAGCAGGGCTCTGAGTGCTTATGCCGCCTGCTCAAGGTCACTCAGCCAAGGAGAGAGGTCGGCCAGACTCCAGAGCCACCTTCCCCAGTTGGGTCTCAACCCTGGGGCCCTGAGGGATGCATGGGGGTTAGAGAGGGCAGGAGGCAGAGCTGGTGAGTGCCAATGTCATTAATCGTTGGCACACGGATTAGCCTTGTGAAGTGGTCCGTAAGAGGGGGCAGAGGGGTCCCCTGGGACCTGAGACTTGTGGATAAAGGTGTCAGGCTCTAGTCAGCTTGTGAAGCTGCACTTTTCTGATCTATGTTACATTTAACCAAAAGGTAACAGAAATGAATTTCAGAAGAAACTTCTGGAACAAGTAAGTGGCCAGTACAGACAGCAGAGCATGCAAGGGTGAGTGTGGGCAAGGTGTAGGGAGGCCTTTCTCCCCAAGGTGCCCACCGGCTCCTGCACCCTCCCCAGGGCAGCCCCTTGGTGTTCCCAGCTTCATCTCTAGCAGGATGTCCCCAACCCAAGTCACCTATGTGAGAGGGGGCTGGCAGCCAGGCTCTTATCTACCAGGCCTCTCTCCACACAGCCCTGAGCCCTGAGGGCACGTGGTCCACTCACCTTTCCCTTCTCCTCTTCGTCCTCCTCCTCCTCCTCCTCCTCCTGGGCCTCAGCTCCTTCCTTGGGGCTATTGTGCAGAGCCTGGCCGGTGTCCACTGGCTCTTCGGAGGAAAGTCGCTGCTCTTGCTCTTTGGAGGACGACTGCTCCAGCGTCCATGCTTGCTGTAGGGCACGAGCCTTCTGGCGTACCACTTCCCGCTCCTTGAGCAACCTGACAAGCCAGGGCCCAGAGTGCCGGCTCCGTCTCCTCCAGGGGACTGCACAGTGGCCCACTGAGGCCTTGGGGTCACCGGAGCCTTAGGGCCCAGCGGGTGGCCCCTGCCCAGGCAGCTTACCCCACAATGCCTTCTGGGATCCTGAATTGTTGATTGGTCTCCAGCAACTGCTGCAGCTGCAACATGGCCAGTTGGGCCACCTGGCTACTAAGCACTTCCTCTACCGACATGCCGGGGAAGAGGTTGGTCACCAGCGGGAGCAGCTGCCAAAAAAAGGGGGTACCCAGAGCCAGGCATGGGCACTGGCGGCAGGGGTGCTGCTGCCTTACCCTCCCGGATTCCTCCCTTCTCAGAACTTAAAAAAAAAGAAGACAAAACAGAAAGCCAAACTCAATACCATCGAGTCAATGCCAACTCATAGCCACCCTCCAGGACAGGGCAGAACTGCCCCTCTGAGTTTCCCAGACTGTCACTGTTGAAGGGCGTAAAGCCCTGGCTCTCTCCCACAGAGCGGATGGCAGCCTGAGGCGTGGTAACCACGCCCCCATCAAAAGAGGGAGGAAGGGTTTTGCAAGTGGTTTCTAAAGAGCTAGGTCCTCTTGCTCCAGAACTGGCAGGGGCCACGGGGAAACAGAATTATTATTGCGGGAGGAAGCCTTCGGGCTCTGGAGGCAGAGACTGAGGGCTTGACCTCTGAACTGTCACGTGAGGCTGGGGAACTACTTTCTCTGAGCCTTACTTTTCTCCTTGCCGATGATGAGAAACAGTATTGCCTATCTCGAGGGCAGAGGCCCTGGCGGCCTAGTGCTTACGACCTAGTGTCAGGCTGCTAGCCACAAGGCCAGCAGTTTGAGGCCACCAGTCTCTCCAGAGGAGAAAGATGAGGCTGCCGACTCCCCTACAGAGTTCTGCCCTGCCCTACAGGGTTGCTGTGAGTCCGATGGGCTTGGGTGGCAGGGAGGTGGGTTTGGGTCTGGTCTTTTGGGTGCTGCGGAGGGGGAAATGGCCTGATACCAGCGGCAGTGGTGAGAGCAGCAGTCTCTGGCACGCACAGATAACTCAAGCAGTAGCAGTTCCTGGCGTAATTGGACCAGATTTCTTTGAGGGACAAAGAGCCTCTTTAGGTGACCCCCGGGTCTTGACTCTGTAGCCCACCCTCGGAGGGAGGCCCATCTGACCCGCAGGAACCCAACCTGTGGGTTTCGAGGTTCGATGATCAGGGCAGTGGCGACGTCCTGGCGGGCTCCAAAAAGTTTCTGCAGCAGCTGTCGGCTCTTGGCCCGCTGGATGTAGTGGCGGCTTTGCTTGGGATTGTGCTTGATGGCCGTCGTGAAGTGGCTCTCTGCCTTATGGAACTGCCTGCAGAAGAGAGCAGGCCCCGGCTGCCATGCGCTGGCCCACCTGGGGAGTCAGGACAACCCCTTCTCCACCATGCCTACTGCTCTCCTTCCAGCAGCTACCACCAATGAGTATGTATGACCTGGGACCAGGGAGGCCTTTTTGAGACCATCATAAACCCGTCTTCTACAAATAACAAGAGAGTAATTTGACTATAAAGTCCAAGTTACTAAGCAAAAAACACCCAAAGAGAAGAGACACACAGGGAAAATGTTGTAGCTACATAGAACTTTGTATATTTAGACTCACTTTCCTAGCCGACAAGAAGTCTTTGTGGGGGAAGACCAATTAAAACAACTATTCTTCACATTTATGCACCAACCTGTAAAGCCAGTGATAACGGAATTGAAGCAGTCTACCAACTTCTTGAGGCAAAAATGGATCAAACACGATCAAGATACATTGATGATTACTGGTGACTGGGATGAAATGTTGGAAACAGAAGAAGGACTGAGTTGGGAGATAGGGCCTGGGTGGCAGATATGAAGGTGGGGATCCCATGACAGAATTTTGCAAGACCTGGGCTGCTAACTGCAAGGTCAGCAGTTCAAGCCCACTGGCCACTCTGTGGGAGAAGGAGGCTGTCTGCTTCTGTTTAAAAAAAAAAAAGAATTTGGCAAGACCAACAACAACTTCGTCACAAATACCTTTCCCCCCCAACGGCATCCACAGTGACTTTACACGTGGACCTGGTCAGATGGAATAGACAGGAATCAAGTTGGCTGTGTCTGTGGGAGGAGCTGATGGAGAAGCCCAGTGTCCTTAGCCCAAACAAAGCCAGGGGCCAGCTGTGGAACAGACCGCAACTGCCCGTGTGTTGAAACCGAAGACAGTGAAAGCAAGTCCACAGAACCAAAGCGTGACCTTTAGTACCTCCCCTGGGAATGTAGAGACCACTTCAAGGACAGGTTTGATGCTTGGAACACTGAGCTGTGGGAGGACATCAAGAAGCGGAAGAGCTGTGGGAGGACATCAAGAACATCACACACGGGGAAAACAAACAAACAAACAAAAACATCCGTGAAGAAAGAAAGAAAGAAAAGACCAAAGAGGATGTCAGAAGAGGCTGCGAGGTGCTCTGCGATGTAGAGCAGTTAAAGCGAATAGAATGATGATGTAAAAGAGCTAAAAGCGGAAGATTTCAGACGGCAGCTCAAGAAAATAAAGCATTATACAGAAATGTGCAAAGGACGGGTTAGAAAACTCAAAGGGAAGAACATGCTCAGTACATGCTACGCTGAAAGAGCTGAAGGAAAATTCCAGCCTTCAGTTGTACACTGAAGCTTCTATGGCCCGAAGAAGGTCGGAGTGCACAGAATGGCTGCACTCAAGAACCGGTCGGTGGTCAGCCAGCTCAAGAGGCAGGGACTGAAGGGGGAAATTCAGGCTGCACTAAAGGCATTAGAAAAAGACAAGGCTCAATGAATTGAAGGAAAGCCAACTGAAATGTTTCACCAAACGGATGCAGCACTAGAATCACTCACTTGTCTATGCCAAGAAATTTGGAAGACCATCTGGCCAAGAGAATGGAAGAGATCCATATTTGTGCTCATTCCAAAGAAAGGTGACCTAACAGAATGCACAACTTATTGAATAATATCACTGATAGCACTTCGGTAGAATTTTGCTGAAGATAATTCAAAATCAGCCACAGAACCACCTCCACAGGGAGCTGGCTTCAGAATAGGGTGTGGCCTAAAGGGTGTCCCTGCTGATGCTGATGGTTCTTGTGTGAAAGATGCTTACTTGTGTTCTGTTGACGACGCAAAGACATTAGACTGTGGATCAAACCGACTGTGGATACCATGGCAAAGAGTGGGACGTCGGAACCCTTCACTGTTTGGGTGGAGCCTGTACACAGAGCAAGAGGCAGCCAGTCAAACAGAACAAAGGACACTGTGCTGTTTAAACTCAGGAAAGCGGGGCATCAGGGTTGTATCCTTTCACCAGACGTTTCAATCTGCATGCCGATGAATGTACCTGAGATGCTGGGCTGTATGAAGAGAATGTGGAACCAGAATCACAACTTAGGGTATGTAGACAGCACAGCCTCACCTGCTGAAAGCAAGGAGGACTTGAAGCCCTTGCTGATGAAGCTCAGAGGCTACAGCCTCCAGTGTGGACGACAACCTAATGATAGAAAACAAACATCCTCACAACTGGACCAAGAGCTAAAACCCAATGATAGAAAACAAGCATCCTCACAACTGGACCAAGAGTTACAACTCAACGATAGAAAACAAACATCCTCACAACTGGACCAAGAGTTACAACTCAACGATAGAAAACAAACATCCTCACAACTGGACCAAGAGTTAAAACTCAATGATAGAAAACAAACATCCTCACAACTGGACCAAGAGTTACAACTCAACGATAGAAAACAAGCATCCTCACAACTGGACCAAGAGTTAAAACTCAATGATAGAAAACAAACATCCTCACAACTGGACCAAGAGTTAAAACTCAATGATAGAAAACAAACATCCTCACAACTGGACCAAGAGTTAACATGATAAACAGAGGGAAAAAAGAGATGAAGTTGTCCCGCGTTTAATTTTACTTGGATCCACAAGCTCATGGGAGCAGCAGTCAAGAAATCAAAGCTTGTGCTGCATCGGGCAAATCTGCTGGATAAGGGCCTCGTTCAAGGGCGGGAGGGAAAGCAAGGATGTCACTGAAGGACGAAGGGGTGCTCGCCCCAAGCTGTAGTAATTTCCAGGGTCTCATAAGCAGGTGAAGGTTGGACACTGAAGAAGAACTGATGTGTTTGTATGACGGTGCCGGCAAGGGTACTGGAAGTACCGTGGACTGCCAGAAGAACAAATCTGTCTTGGAGAAAGTACGGCGAGAATGTTCCTTAGAATCAAGGATGGAAAGACGTGGTCTCACGGACATTGGGCATATTACCGGGAGAAACCAGTCCCTGGGGAGGAACATCGTGCTTGGTAGAGTAGAAGGGCAGTGAGAAAGGAGAACACCCTCGATGAGATGGCTTGACACGGTGGCTGCGACAATTGGTCCAAACATAACAACTGGGAAGATGGTATAGGACCGTGCAGTGTCATTCTATGAGTCTGAGCTGACTTGGCACCCAACGACAATAACACACAGAACTCCTGTATGTATTTGTGTATATACACACATATATACATACATATACACATTTAATGTATATGAAATAGATATATTTAATGAGCAACTCAGCTGAAAAGTGAGCAAAAAGATCTGTACAGGCCAGACACCCAAGCCAAATCCAATGCTGTGAAGTTCATTCTGACTCACCGCAATCCAAAGGATCAGGGTAGAACTGCCTCACAGGGTTTTCAAAACTGTAATCTTCATGGAGGCCGGCTACTACATCTATAGCCCAAGGAAGGGCTGGTGGGTTCAAACCTCTGACCTTTCAGTTAGCACTTGAGTACTTTAATCAAACTCACAACACCAGCAGGGCCTCTTTGGGCAGGCCATGTTGGCTAATAAAAACCTGAAAGATACTACATAGGTCATACTAACAATTTAAATAAACAGTGGGATTTTTTTTAACTTATTTGGTTAGCAGAATTGAAAATTGTTGTAAGACCCTGTGCAGGGAGGCTGGGTATTATATATATATATATAGCACTCATCATATGGACTTAGAAATAGGTCTATCCTTGTGAGACTGCTTACTTCCATTGACTATAAGTCATTAGAAACCTGTAAGTCACAGGTTATGTATATATATACATATATATATATATATATATATATATATATCACTCATCATATGAACTTAGAAACAGGTCTATCCTTGTGAGACTGCTTACTTCCACTGACTATAAGTCATTAGAAACCTGTAAGCCACAGGACACTTCCTTGGGAAATGGCTGAACGTAGACACAGAAGCATGTCACATAAAGACTGTAAAGAGCCCATAGGTTCATCTTGACCCAGCATGCAGAGCCTGTCTCTCCACAGCCTCCCTCACCTCTGACCCTGCTCTAGCAGGGCTGCTCTAGCCCCTGGAGAAGACATGACATGCTGGTCTTGAGGCACCCTGGCCCTTGTTGTGTGGAGCCAAGATGGAGCATCCACACAGGTGCCCTACATTTCTGCTCCCTTACTGAGATTCTGTCCGCAGCTGCTGACCTCCGACCCTTTCCCCAAGGGGCCTCTGCCTTTAACCTTGAGTTGAAGGTAAAAGCTTAAAGTCGAACCATGTGAACTCTCACCATTGAGCTAATATTGCCATCATTCATTCCGAGTCTCCGGATTCTAGATGCTGCTGTGAGAACTTGTGCGCCCAGCCATGCCTACCTCAAAATAAACCAAGTGAGGTCACACATGCCAGACCTGCCTCTCTCTACTTGTTTTCAAGTGACTCCTACACATTGGGGGTCACTGTTTGCAGAGACCGATTTCCTGGTGGCACTGTGGATTAGCTGTTGGGCTGCTAACCTCTTAAGGTTCATGGTTCAAAACCACCTGCTGCTCCTTGGGTGAAAGATGTGGCTGGCTGCTCCCCTTTAAGCAGGTTCAGTCTCTGAGGCCCTATACAGGGTGGCCATGAGCCGGAATCGACTAGGTGGCAGTGGGACTGGCTTTGGGGGTGTTATTAAAAAGTTAATAACTTGTGAACCTGATCGGATCGTTTTTCTTCCAGCAATGTAAGTTCTAGTATTCCAAAGTGTGACAGCACGAGAAAGCAGAGGCTGGCTGCCCTTTACAGCATTACATGTTACTGAGACAGCACCAGGGAGCAGCCCAACACCCGTCAGGTGATGGTGCAAGGCAACCCCGTGGCCCAGCCACACGGAGCAGACAATGCACAGGGAAACTTCTGGGGGACCCTTTGCCCAACTTCTTTTGATGAGGGTTGGGGGTATAGCCCCAGACACTTCAGGTTCCAAGTTATAGGCTGCCAGACACTTCCGTCTTTAAGAAGAAGCACCCCGCATGACTAGCATCAACAAGAAGAAGTGAGGGATTGTTTACAAAACTTGAGAGAATAATCTGGTGAGCAGAAGCAGTTTGTCCCTGGGGTCCCAGCAGGGGTCCTCGGGCCAGCCCCGTCCGCCCCCACCGCACCTGTGCCTCAGCTCCCAGCAGCCCAGCCTCTCCTGCAGCAGGCTCATGCGCAGATTGGCGCCCTGGTCCGAGGGGCTCAGCGCCAGCGCCTGCTGATAATCGGCCTCAGCAAAGGTCAGGTTGCCCATCTGGAAGAAGCAATCTGGGACCCGAGGGCCCGAGTTCAGTGGGCCCTCAGCTCCCAGTACCCAGGAACCCCCTGCCCACTCCCATGCTGCAGGGCTTGAAACAGGTGGCTAATGGCACCCATGGGCAGTCGCAGACCCCACGGGAGGTTTTCCATGCATCCGGGCACCTTTTCCCAGCTGTCCGATTCTGAGCCTCTGGAAAATGCGTTTAGGATAATGTCCTTGGGACCCTGCACCTCGCGAAGGTTTCCTTTCATCCCTCGCTCCTTTCCTCCCTTCCAAACATGGACAACATTCCAAGCCCAGCTCAGTGGGGGGGAGAAGCACGGACTCAACAGTCACTGCCCCCCACCCCAAGGAAGAGGCAGGCAGTCAGCCCAGAGAGAGGGCGAGGCCAAGGCCCTTGGCTGACCCCTCACCTCCGCGGTTGATGTACAGGCTTTTCTCACGCTGCTCATCGCGGAGCACCTTGTTCAGCAGCAGCACGCCCTCCTGGTAGGCGCCCTGCCGGTAGCACTGCACCGCAAAGTCGTTGTAGGTCAGCAGCAGCTGCCGCTGCACCTGCCGCACCAGGACTTCCTGGTTCTCTGGCACCAGGTCCAGCGCCTTCAGGAAGTCCTCCACAGCGCCATCAAAGTCATGCAGCCGTCGGTACATGATGCCCCTGCGGGCAAGGGCACACGGCGGCAGGGGGGCGGGGCCTCAGGACCAAAGGTACTCCTCCACCCAACCGGCCAGGTGGCCAGGCAAGTCGCTGCCTACACACTTGGCACCTTGCAAGGTGGGCTCACTTCCTCCTCCTGAGCCAACTCACCCACCATCACGCATACTCTTCACGTCTCTTAGAAATGGTCTCCGCATGGAAAGATGCAGGTAAAACTCAACCTCATAGACAAGACCTGGCTTACTGGTTATACAGAGACGGGGTGGGGGGAGCTGCCAGACTGTGGCCCTGTACCCTCAGGTCTGAAAGGGAACTCACTCCTGGGGTCGAATACCAACCACTTAAGACCAAAGGGCAGCATTTACCCAAGGGCAAAGCTCAGGGGGTTAGGAGAGGACATGGGGGGGTGGGCATGTGGGAAAAGCAATGGTAGGTGAGGGAATTCCAACCAATGGGTTGGCACAGAATGTCTGAATTGTTGACTGTGAAACTGACAATCTGCCTGGCGAGCCTTCACCTCCTGCCCAATAGAACATTTTGTCAAAGCCTCCTCCTCTCTCCTGGGAGCTGTGTGTGTGAAGGCCCTGATGGACCCTGACCGACCTTGTTGCCCCCACTGTTCCAGAAGCAGGTGAAAGATGAGGGCACCCGCTCCCCATCAAGATGGGCAGTCTCTGAAGGCCCCAGGGAGTAGTTCTACTCTGTCCTTCAGGGTCGCTATCAGTCAGAATGGATTTGATGGCAGTGTGGGTTTTGGTTTGGCGGCTGTCGATGAGAAAAACCCATGCTCAGAGAGTTTAATCGTCCCAATCACTGGAAGGGCTGCATTTGAGGGCCAAGCCTTGCCCGCTGAGCCAGGCTGACCCTGGCAGGGGTTCAGCAGGACAGTAGCAGAGGACATCTATGGTGCCTTGACCCCTGGGGGAAGGAGGATCGGATTACTAGAGGCCAGATGGGAGGAAGGCCCCAGGGTAGAGAAGGGGCTCTTCTGAGACCACAGAGCAGGTCAGTGGCAGGGCAGGGCCTGGAGCCCAGGACCACTCGGAGCCCACCCAGTACCGGAAGAAGAGGAGGCTGGGGTCCAGGGGGCTGTTCTCGATGGCACAGTTGATGCGCTGTATGGCGCGCTGCATGTTGCCCTGGACTGCGAAGATCCCCGCGTCCTGGCGTGCCTGCTGGGCCTGGTCCACCATCACCTTGAGGAGCGCCTTGGCCTGTGGGTTCTGGGGATCCAGCAGCAAGGAACTGTGCAGGTCCCGGTAGCAGAAGCTGGCCTATGCGGGGTGGGGGTGGGATCCAGGGGAAGGATGAGAGGGCAAAGGTCAAGATTCACGAGGCAGATGCCTCTCTGGGAAGGCTGGCTCATACCACCCCTTCTCAATGGTCTTGACATCACTGTTCCACCTTTCCCCTCGCTTGAAGGAGGCAGGGGAGCATTGTGGGGAAATCCTACTCCATTAACTGCTCTCTTCCCAGATGTGGTCTCTGTTTAGCCTGGACCACTCCTGGCTCAGTGAGCTTCTATGAGGCTCCCAGGAGGCGTGGCCTCCTGTCTGGATGGCTATATCCTCATGATCCCCACCTCCACTCTCCCCCTCGTCCCTGACCTTTAAGTGAAGACACTCTGACCAAGAGTAGACCGAGACAACATCCCTAGGTAAGCATCTTTCCCTGATGCACTGGTCAGTCCTTCGGCCAACAATTTTAGGGACCCTCCTGTGTCCTGCAGGGTAAATGGGTGGGGTGTGGGTGCTAGGGTGCAAGTCGGGAAGAGTCTGGGAGTTGGGCTTAGCATGGGCAGACCTAGCATCAAGGCTGACACCACATGAGCTGGCTGTGTGAGCCTGGACAAACTGCCCCACTCCCACCCCTCCTTGGTCTGTTTCCTCATCTGTGAAGAGCAAAGTGATCCTGTTTCCCTCAAAGGACGATCGAAAAGCCTTCCAGACAAGCACAGGAACGTGCTTAGGACGCGGAGCAGGGCTCGCAAGGAGGCAGCTAAAGTCACAACCCCAAGCCTGTTGGTACCGAATGGATTCGGACGCATGTCCAACTATTAGACAGAGTCGATCTGGCCCCTAGGGGTTTCCAAGGCAGTCATTGCCAGAGCAGACTGCCTCATCTTCCTCCTGATGACCAGCTGGTGGGTTGGAACCACTCACCTCCAGTTAGCAGCTGAGCGCTTAACCCCTGTGCCACCAGAGCTCCTTGAAGTCCCAGTAGCCAGCGGTAATTACCAATAATTGCTAGTCTCACACCTTCGAAGGAGGCTCCCTCTGAGTCATTGTGGGATGGGTACACAAACCCAGCATCTGAAGGTGGCACATGGGTGTACCTCACCCCTGGGGCCCTCCTGAGGGGCACCAGTCCACTCCCTCTGTGATTACAGGGTCACACCTCCAACTGCCCACACAAGGACACTCTATATTTGTACTTCACCCGCCGGAATCCTCCTGCTCCCCGTCTATCCAGGCCAAGCCACAAGGCTGGGCGTGGTCCTCAGGGGGAGTGTGGGATGCCAGCTTCTCACACCTGTACCTCTGCTCCTGACCTCTAAAGGACTGTGGACCTTGACCCATGTGGCCACCCTCCAGCTGTCCCCCCTCCTCTCCTGCTGGACTTGCCCCTACCTGGCCTCCTCCCAGACCCCCAGCCTCGGATCCTGCCTTGTCCCACCCACACTCCCCACAGCAGCTGAGGGGGCTTTCTAAAGCAGCCCTCCTACTGCTCCAATGCTGAGAACAGCCTTTTCAAGACTCCTGCTGCTCCTGGGAAGAATTCAGGGGCTCCGGGGTCACGAGACAGGGGGCCTCCTCCAAATTCTCAGGTGAGCCCATGTCCTCTCACACTCAGTCTCCTTCCCCAGGCTCTCCCCGTCCTCCCCTGCGGCCCCCAACCGCTCCCTGCACCACCTGTCCTCATACCCAACCCAGGCTGGCTGGAGGGTGCTCAGGAAAGGCTCACTGAGGCAAGGGAGGAGGGAGACATGGGGATGTAAGAAAGGAGGAGGACGGGGAGGATATTTGTCTCGGCCAGTGATGCCCTGGGGAAGTCCCACGTGGTGACCCGTGGTATGATGACGATATGACGACACGCTAGTGTGGTTTAATCCTTCTTTGTGTAATTGTCTGCTGAGGGACACACCCCCTGGACTTGAGGGACATGCCTCTCACCTTGTGGCTCCCGCCGGGGGTGCCCCCCAGCACAGGCTTGATAGAATCAGGGCTGAGGAAAGCTGAGCAACTGCCTGACTGGATGCCCAATGGTCAGGCCTGACCAGAGGGGCCTCTGCCCTCTGGTGGCTGGTGGCTGGCCTCACAGCCCCCTGGGCTCTCGGGCTAAGGGAGGGTCCCACACCAGCGCCATGCTCGCTTCCCGCACTACCTTGCGGAAGAAGTTGTAGACCCTGGCCCGCAGGATGTACATGTCCACATTGGCCGAGCCTTGCTTCAGCTCCTTGGTGAGGAGCAGGAGGCAGTCTTGATGCCGTCTGAGCGCCAGGAGGCAGGCCATGCTGAGGGAGAGGGGCAGGGGGCTTACTGCCTGCGGGCCAGGGGAGGCAGGAAGGGCTTGCAGGAAGCTGGGCACCACTCACCACCGGTAGCGGAAGCAGGCTTTCTGGGGCTGGAGCTCAGAGGCTTGTGAGAAGACGTTCAGGGCATCCTCGTAGGAGCACTGATCAAACAGGCACTGGCCCTGAGGACACAGGAGGCCGTCATTTCTGCCTGTGTCTCCAGCCCAGCTCCAGCCACAGGCTGAGGGCCCACAATGTGGGTGAAGGGCAGAGAGGCAAGGGACAGGGCGGTGTCGACTTGGGGAGAGTTTGAGGGACAGAGACACGGGGATGGAGGGGGAGACAGAGCTGGGGAGAGGTAGCAGGGGGCAGTAAGGGATAGTGATGAGACTGGGGACAGGAAGACACCCAGCAGGGAAGCAGGAGCACTGGCGGTGCTCTTGGAAGCTGAGGCCCGTGCTAAGAACCTGGCATTTGCTGCCTCACTGGTACAAGGATGGATTGTGCCTGTTTAAGGGGAAGGATCTAAGGCCCAGAGAGGGGAAGCCAATGCCACAGGGTGGCATAGGAAGTAGCAGTGCAGGACTCGGGACCCCAGGGATCACATGAAGCATGTGGTTGGGGCCCTCAGACCTTTTTTTAAAAGACTTGGCTAGCTGACTTTTTTTTAAATTGGGAGTTAATACATATATCATTCCATAGTTCAATCATAGTCCAGTAGAATCATACAGCTGCTACGACAATCAGTGTCCATTCTTTTTCTACACGGACTCCATGACATTGGCTCCCTTTTACCCCCACCCCCACCCCCATGGAACTCCCCCATCCCTAAACCCCTTATTCTACTTGCTCTCCATATAGGTTCATCAATCCTGGGCTTCGTATGCCAAAAAATGGAAAAAACATATGTAACACAACCTCAAGAGGGTGACCTCCATTGACATAACACCTCTGAGCTACCTTACTATGAACAAACAAAAGAATACAAATCAAAAACAGGACATTTTGGAAACCAGGTCAGGTCCAGGATGCAGCATAGCGGGGATCTAATAATGACAAAGGTCTAACTGTTCAGGTCAGATTTATGCCTTTGACCTTCGATACCCTCTCTCCCAAACACTCTGTGTAGTGACCCCTTCCCTCCCTTCCCTCCGTTTTAGATAGGGGAGTTCTCTGGAGGCTGACTTTCTGACAATTTTTCTTAAGAAGACACCAGAGTTGTCAACATGGAAACCGAGATGAAGATGTTGGGGCGTTCTGGTTTAATATTGCTTTTATTTATTTTATTTAATATTGCTTTTATTTAAATATGCTCAACTGGAAGCCCTGTTCACTCTTTTAGCACTTCAGGCACCTAGGCTCTAGGACTGTGCTATACAATCTGACAGGCACCAGGTTTACACAGCCATATTAATTCCATCTCAGTGAAATATCGTTGGAGATGTGTTGAGGGCTCTCAATAGCGTCGTGTGGCTAGTGACAAGGGGTCTGAGTGGCACCACAAGGAAGCACTTGGCTGCTAACCCAAAGGTCAGAGGTTCAAACCCACCAGCTTCCCCTTGGGAGAAAAGACCAAGTGGTCTGCTCCCATCAAGATGAGCACTCAGCTAAGCCTATGGGACAGTTCCACACTGTCCTAAAGGGTGCTACGTGTCAGCAACAGTTCACTGCCACCAAGTCCGTGCCGGCTCAGAGAGACCCCATAGGACAGGGTAGAACTGCCCCTGTGGGCTTCCAAGACTGTCACTCTCCACTCTGGAAGTGGAAAGCCTCGTCTTTCCAATTGGCCCTGCAGTCATAAGCACCAGTGACCCCAGTCCCATGGGGCAGTGCAGAGACTTTCCACACCACAGACAGTACTGTTGGCCTGCACTGCAAGACTTCACCCAGCTCTGCCCGTGAGCCAGCTCGGGAGGTGGGAGAGGAGGTGAGAGGGCTCAGCTGGGTGGGAGCCACACACGGGAGTGAGGAGGTCCTTAGGGAGAGAGAGCTGGAGTCAAGGACAAGGGGCTTCCCCCAACACACAGCTGGAGGGAGAGCCACAGGGCCCTCGGGCAGCTCCGGGCACCTGGATGTAAAGCACCAAGGTGAGCCGCTCCTGGTATTTTGTGTTCTCTGGCTCGAAGGAATATGCCATTCGCAAGTTCTGGGCAGCGGAGGAGAAGTCGCAGAGCTGAATGTAAGCCTCGGCCCGCAAGGCGTAGAATTCTACCTGCAGGCAAGGGGACCCAGGCTGCTGCTCTTGCCTCAGAAGTCTGTCTCCTGGAGACTTGACAGTCAGTTCCCGTTAGTAACTTGGGGGACCCGAGAGTAGCACCTGGTGGTACAGTGAGGTGTGCCAGAACCTGCCTGTGCCCATCAGACCCTCCTCACCATCTTGGAGTCCAGGTGGAGGGCACGGGAAAAGAACAGCACGGCCATCTCCCACTTCTCTTGCTCTAAGTACGCCTGCCCTTGGTAGTAGCTGCCAGAGAAGAGGCACACAGGCAGAGGGGCTGGCCTTGACCTTGGGTGAGCCCAAGGCATGTGGAGAGGGGGCTGTTTGGGTGAAGAGGAAGGAAGGAGAGGCCCAGGGAGGGCTGGCCGGCATTCTTGGGGCTCACCCAAGTCAGCGGCCTTTTATCCGCTGAGGTGGAAGAGCCCCATGATGCTCAGGGAGGGAGAGTTACTGGCCCAATGCTGCAAAGTGTGTCAACGGTTGTACACGCCCAGAAGCTGGACCCTGGAGTAAGGCGGGTACTCACTACTCCCGGACTTTGAGAGGCACTGCTGAGCCCTTGGGCTTTGTTACGGATTCATCGAAGCCCTGGAACACCTGGCTGGTTCCAAAGATATACTTCACTGGGTCCTTTGGGACTGAAATCATACGGGGCCTTTTGGTGCACTCTGAAGAGTCCTCTTCCAGCTCCAGGGCGTCCTACAACCAAGGGACAGTGGCAAGGCTGGAGCAGCCCTCACAGACAAGCGGGCCCCCTCCCCACTCACACACACTCCCAGGTATTTTATGGGAGGGGGCGCGGGTGATCTAGAACCGAGACCAGGTAGATGCCTGCTGGGACCTGGTGGCACAATTCCCCTTCAGAGTGGTTCAGCCCACCTCCCGCTTCTCACATGCAGTCAACCCTCTCTGGCCTGCCCTCTCACTTTGCTACAGCCAGGGCCAGGGCCTTCCTGATCCACCTTATCTCTCCCTCTCCCCACCCCTCCTATATCCCTTGGACTCCCCCAAGGTCAAGGCCATCCCCACAGCCCGTGTTCCCCTTCCCTGGCAGCTACTTCCAAGGCCGGACACGCTTAGAGCAAGAGGACTGGGAGATGGCCGCACTGGTCTTCTCCCATGCCCTCCACCTGGATTCCAAACTGGTGAGGAGGAAGGTCTGATGGGCACAGGCAGGTGCTGGCACACACTTCCCCCTCACCAGGCCCAGCCTAAGCCACAGATCTCAGGGTCCTGCAGCCCCTCATAGAGCCTGTGGAGCCCTCACCCCTGGCCAGCCCAGACTGACCACCTCATCGGACATCTGACCTCCCACCTGATGGAGACATGTCCATCAGCGCCAGCCACTGAGCCAGTGTCGGATGTCCCCTCAGTCCTTGAGTCCTGTCTGCTCCATTTCCTAAAATCTCTTAGGTTTCGGCTTCTTCTCTCTCCTAGTCTCCTCGACTGGGCAATGCCACCTCCTCGGAGAAGCCTTCTCAGAGCACCTCCTTGTCTCCCGGCCTAACGCCTCCATACTCTGCACCACAGCCCAGGGTTTTCCTGACAGCTCCCTGCTGCTGCATCCTGTACTTCAAGTCTTCCCTGCCAAGCCAGACTTAAGTTCTCGACCCCCGCCCCTCTTTCCTCGCTTCGGCCTCTCCTAGTCCACACCTCGCCCTCGCTGGTGTCGGTCATGATGTCCTCTCCAGGAGGACCCCTGGGGCTGGACCAGCTTCCTCTCAGCCCCTTCGCCTCACACAGCCTGGACCTCTGCCGTTGCTAGGGGCCATCTCCAGGACGCCCAGAGGCTCCGCCTCTCTGGCCACGCCCCCTGGGGGAAATCCAAGCGCTGTTCCAACAGTTAGGGTAGAACAACTTTTATAAACAGCGGAGGCTGAGCCCTCTGGGGGGGGAAAGGACTTGCCCGGCTTCCCCAGAAGCAGGGCCCGAATGAGCGTCGGGACAAGGTTCGCGCTTCCCACGCTTGAGGTCAAACGAGGGCTCGGCGAGATTCACAAGCAACCCCGCCGGAACCCGGTGACGCCGCGCCACGGAATGCGCGACGGCGCCCCGACGGGGGCACCGCCCAGCCACTTCCGCCCCCGTAGCCAGCCGGGGATTGGACGCTGGCGGCCGCCTCTGTACAGGCGGCAACTCCTATTGGCTGAAGACCCGTGACGTCAGGGGGCGGAGTTCAGGCCGGAATGAGGGCAGCATGCCGCCGCCCGGCCTCCTGGGCGCTGGGCTGTGGCGGAGCTGGGCTATGAGCTGGCGTGTTTTGGAGCCTCGTCCCGCGGGGAAGCGGTGGCTGGTGAGTGGAGTCGGCGGGCGGTGACGGAGGAGCGCCGGGGGCTCCCCGTGCAAAGTCCCCCAAATTCCTTGTATTCTTTCTTAATCCGGAAAATGGGTCCAGTACCACACTATTCAGACTTCCGGCTCCTGTCTCAGATTGCCCTGCGCGTTCGGGACACCACTTAGCCTTTTTGAGCTCCTGGATGCTTGGGGCCTCTCCTCCGGTCCCGTCCTCACCCCGGGCCCACGTCAGTCCGCAACTTTGTCCCAGGGAGTGGGGTGGTGCTGTGGGAAGGGATGGCAGGTCGCTTTCCCTGGTACCGTCCGTAGGTGGCCGGCCTGGGGAACCCCGGACTGCCAGGTACGCGGCACAGCGTGGGCATGGCAGTCCTGGGGCAGCTGGCGCGGCGCCTAGGTGTGGCGGAGAGCTGGGCCCGCGACCGTCGCTGCGCCGCCGACCTCGCTCTGGCCCCACTCGGGGATGCCCAGGTGGTCCTGCTCCGGCCGCGGCGGCTTATGAACGCCAACGGGCGAAGCGTGGCCCGAGCTGGTGAGTGAAGGCACAGGGTGGGTGGGCCCCCACCAGGGTCCAGGGACCAGAGAAGGGGGCGCTGGGCCGCAGCATACCTCCCTACCCGCCCCCAAGTGCCGCTTGGCCTTGGGTACTTGTAAGGGCCTCAGTTTCTTCATCTGTGAAGTGGGGCTTCTTCCATCTCCTTCACTGCCATTGATTCGAGTCCAACTCTTAGTTTACCATATAGGACGAACAACCATATAGAACTGCCTGTGGGTTTCGAGACTTTACCTCTTTGAGAGAGCAGAAAGCCTCATCTTTCTCCTATTGAATGGCTGATGGTTTTGAACGTGTGACCTTGTGGTTAGCACCCCACGGGGTAACCCTCCTTATGGGAGCCCAGAGTGGGGGCCGGGCCCTGAAGGGTGATGGTGATGTAACCAGGGCCACTGTTCCCCTGTGCCCAGCGGAGATGTTTGGGCTGACCGCTGAGGAAGTCTACCTGGTGCACGATGAGCTGGACAAGCCCCTGGGGAAACTGGCCCTGAAGCTGGGGGGCAGCGCCAGGTGAGACCCAGAACCAATTAGGGTGGCGGGGGGGTGGGGGCATGCTGAACCCAGCCTGGGCAGGGGAACAGGGAGGGAGGGGTGGAAGGGCCCTGCCCCTGGGAGATACTAATTGCTTTCCCCCTCTCTCTTGAAGAGGCCACAATGGTGTCCGCTCCTGCATTAGCTGCCTGAACTCCAGTGTGAGTCTGGACCCCCCTCCCCACACTGTCTTGAACTGGGACTGGGGGGGGCGGTCCCCATGGCCCCACCCCACCCCAACACTGAGTTCACACTCTCGCCCTCTGGCTCCCCCACAGGCCATGCCTCGGCTGCGGGTGGGCATCGGCCGCCCCACAAACCCAGAGGCCGTGCAGGCTCATGTGCTGGGCTGCTTCTCCCCTGCTGAGCAGGAGCTGCTGCCTCCGCTGTTGGAGCGTGCCACAGATCTGCTCCTGGACCACATCCGCGAGCGCAGCCAGGGCCGGTCCATGCTGGGCCCCTGACGACATGGACGTGGCTACTCGCCCAATCACAGTGCACATGCTCAGCCAGTCCACAGAACGGCCACGCCAAGCTTGCAGTGTACTCTCTTTATAGAAAGAGCTACTTTCCTCTGAGCTGCCTCAGGCAGCCTATGAAATAAAGGTGGGGGCGGGGGACAGTGGCCAGAACGGTCCATTTCTGGAGCAAGGGCTTAGTCTTCTCTCACTTGGGACGCAAGTACATTTCAGGAAGACTGAACTTTTTGAGCCTTTTCGGAGAACTAAGATCATAAATCTGTAAGAGGAAAGACAGGCTTGGAAGCTGAGGCCCCTCGGGACGCCCACTCACCTTCCCCAGCCTGTGGTACAGCAGCCCCGCTCCCAGGTGAAGCCTGAGGTGACTGAGACCTGCCACACCTTTCTTCAGAGCAGCCCACTCATAGCCCCAAGGTCACACCGCTGCGGTGTGGCAGAGCCCTGATGCACACCTAGGGCTAGCGGTCCCTGGGCCCCTGGCACCCTCACCACAGGGCTGCTGTTGGCTGGGAGGCTTCCCACTCGGGTGGTGTGCGACAGCAGCCGGAGGTCCTGGGAGTTGAGTGAGAAGTGAGTAGGGCGCGGCACCAGGCCCAGGTCCCCCGGCTGGTAGCGTGTGATGCCAGACAGCTGCTGTAGGAGAGGTTCCACCTTGGGCAGGCTGTGGGTGGGTGGGGGGGCTAGTGTTATCACCTCCCATTTCACAGATGAGGAGACTGAGGCTCAGAGAGGCTTTGGGGAATCAGGCTTCTGGCCCACAGTTGGTTGGGGACCTTGGCCGTGCTCCCCAGGACTGCTCTTTCCAAGGCCACGCGAGGCCACCACTCACCTCATCTTAGGTGGGTCTTTGGGAATGGACTTCCGTTGGGGATATACAGCCTCTTGAGGGATCAGGGATATAGCTGAACTGAGCATGGCCAGTAGCTGCTCCAGCATCTCTTTGTGCTGCAGCTGGAAGACCACACTGAAGCCCCCATCCTTCTCTTGGGATTGCATCTGTCAGAAGGGGCACGGTGTGCTGTGGGATCAGGCCACAGTGCCCCCCCCACCCAACACCCATGCATGAGCCCCAGCCCCAGTGCTCCCTGGCTCTGGTGCAATATCTGGCCTTTAAATGGGAGGTCCGAGGCTGCAGGGGTCCTCAGAGAAAGAGTACAGCTATTTTGAGACTTTGAAGGGCTTGCCAGGAACCCTCAGCAGAAGAGGGAGCCTCAGACCCACATCCCATCTCCTCCACAAGCTCCTAAGTGAGCAGCTTCTGACCCTGGCTGGCTAGCCAGCTTCCCCCTTTGACCACTTGCTGCTCACCTGCTGAATGGCCTGTAGGAAGGAGGTGGCCTGGGTCAGTGTCATTTCCAGGCTAGCCCTAACCTTCTGCTCTTCGGTCAGCTGCTGCTGCAGGGTCTGTGCCTTGGCCCGCTCCTGTTCCAGCTGCAGGTGCAACTGTTCGTTCTGGCTCCTGGAGTCAGGCCATGACAGGAAGCAGCTCTCCCAGCCTCTGTTGGGCCCTGCTACTTCTCTGCAGTCCACAGGGGCTACCACCCAGCCCTGGGCCTCAGACTGTCTCACAGGGAAAGCCACTGACAAGGGACTGGAATCCATAGTGCCACCCACCCCCTCAGCCTCCCACCGGTCCCACCTCAGTGCCTGCTCGTCTTTCTGCAGTTGCTGCAATTGCTGCTCCACGTGGTCCTGTAGCTGGCGCAGCTGCTCCGCCTCCAAGGTGCCCTGCCGCTGCTGGTGCCACTTCTCCGTCAGCATGAGGATGAGCTGTGGAGGCAGCAGGGGCCTTCAGCCAGCCCTGCTTCCCTAGCCCTGAGCAGAGCTCCTTGCCCAAATGCATCGAGGCCAGCCAAGACCCCGGAAGGGAACGGTCATGGCTGGGCAGAGTCCCAGCATCCCAGGGGTGGGCGCCACTCCAGGAAGCTAGGGGTGTCTAAAGCAAATGAAAGTGCAGAGCTGGGCCCAGCATCATCCCCCCCCCTCCCGAAGGCCAGTCCTCTCCCTGCTGCCTCCCTACCATTACTTTTCCAGCCCAGGGTCGGCCCTCCTGGTAGGGCAGAGCCCCTAGGGTCCCCTCCTGCTTCGTGTGCCAGATGCCAGGTCTCGGAGGCCAGGCAGGTGTACCTTATGGTGGCTACTGCTGTGCTTGGTCATGAACTTGTGCATGTTCTCCAGCAGTGCTAGCTGCTGATGCAGCTTGCAGTGGGCACCATGGAGCTGCTCGTTCTCCTGCAGTAGCTGCAGTCCTTGCTGGGACAGCTTGGCCAGCTGCAGGGTCACTGTGTGGTTCTCCTGGATGGCTCGCTTGGTGGTGTCCCACATCTGGTTACTGGCCACCCTGCGGAACTCGCTGGCCACCAGGTTCACACGCTGAATGATCTCCTTCTTCAGTCTGGGTGGGAATGAGGTGGGAACTGGACAGGGTGGGCACGGCCCCCGGGCACCCCTGGCCTTCTGGGCAGGCGGGAGGGGGCCCCAGGAAGAAGTTGTTTCTTTTTAAATTTTGTTTGAAGTTGTTTGTTTCATTGTGGCCCCTTTGTTACCTTTTGAATTGTGAACCTCACCAACACGTTACCTATTAAATAGCATTTCACTCATCCAAAGTGTCTGGAGGTTCTGTATCGCCAGGGCGAGATTGGGGACTTAGCTCCCCTCCCTACAGCCCACCCCCATTCCCGTCTCCATAAATCAATCAGGATTCTGGAAAGCACTCAGCCCGTGAGGGACCTGAACAATCCCAGTCCCCCCACAGTTGGAAGCGGAGGCCCGAAGGCTGGGATGTGCCGCAGCGATCCAGCTCCTGGCCTGCCCACCTGTCCTTGTCCAGCACGGACTTCTTCTCCAGGTTGTACACGTAGTCCTTGTAGAGGCTCTCCTGATTATGCAGTTGGCTCTCCAGCGTCTCAAACTTGCCCATGAGCTCCTCTTTCTGCAGCCGGAACTCCTCCAGAGCTGCCAGCTTCCCCACTGCCCACAGCCAGGTACAAGTCCTGGTGATACCTCAGCTCTCTGCCCCTCCCTCCCTCCAAGTCCTCCTGACCTCCTGGGTCGCCCCCGCCCCTCAGTGCCATTGCCCACCTTGATGCCCCTGCTCTGAATCTGCTTCTGTCCCCACCAAGAAGCCACCCTCAACACCGCCCCCTTCAGGAGGCACGAGGACCGTCTGGGGCAGGCACTCATGACCTTGTCCAGCCTCCCAAGAACCCTTGCCAGCCAGGTGGCCTCAGGCAAACCACTGCCTCTTCTTGAGGCGCTTCCACCTTTGCGAAAGGATTGGAGCTTGCCTGGCAGATCACAGGGAGCAATTAGGGGAGAGAATGTGTGGGACACAACCAAGACCTGGTCTTTCTCAGAGCCATCATCCCCATCTCCCATGGCCGAGACTGAAGGCCGGAGGGAAGCACGAGCTCAAGGCCACACAGGTCGTGGCGGGGCTGGGGTTGGCACAGGGCCACTCACCCAGGATGATGTTCTCCGAAGTGAGCTGGTCCTTGGTCTCCTGAAACTCGTGACGCACCTGGGCCAGCTGGGCCTCAAACGCGTCCTTCTCCATCTCTTTGGCCAGCTGCAGACTCTGGAGCTGCTCGTTGAGGTCGGCGATCTCGTCCACCCGCTGGTTGAGCGTGCGCTTGAGGAAGGCCACGATCTCCTTCTTGTTGGCGGCCAGCTGCTCGAACTCCTGGCGGAAGAGCTTCTCCTGCACAGAGAGCTCATCCCACTTCCGCTGGTACCTGGGGTGGGCGGGGCACAGGTCCTGGGCTAGGCCAGGCCTCAGGTACAGCTGGGCCCCACCCCTTCGAAGGAGCATTTGAGGCTCCTCCCCGCTCTGGTCCCAGCCGCTCCCACCATTGCCCCATGAATGGGCCACCCCTGTTGGGAGCCTCACCGCGCACCCGTGGGGGCTCAGCACTTTGCCTTCCTCTGAGCACTGGAATGTAAGTTCCTTGAGGACAAAGTCACAGCTATGTCCCCAGCAGCAGAGAACGTGCCTGCTGCGTATGGGTGTGCAGTGTGATGGTGGAATCCTTAAAAGCCACCCATAGCAAAGGAGGTCCTATGCTGCGTAAGCCCATTTCACAGTCAAGGACCAGAGGCTCAGAGACGTGACAGGAGCCAACCCCTAGTCGGTGACAGAACAAGAACTTGAACCCAAGTCAGTCTGACTCTCAAGCCCAGATCCTTAACCACAGCACTGCTGACTGCCAGCCAGGGCCAACTCTGCACCCCTCCTGAACCCTAAGCCTCTGCCGCGACCAGTCCTCACCCTTACCCATGGAACGAACCCTGATCTTGCCACATCTGCCCTGTCTCTGATGCCCTCCTCTGCAGTGACCCTGTCCCACCAGGAGGGAGGTGTTTGCACCCACCCCCCTGTTGGCAAATATGTTTCCTCCGCTGCCACGTCAGCATTCTAAGGACAGAGGGCTCGGCAAATAGCATCTAATAACTGTCAAATGCACTTTCTCCAAATATACTCCATCTGTTCTCTCAACCGGGAGCAAGTTTGAGAGTTGTAAGGGCACTGCATCCACCTTTGCTGGCTGTCGACGGAACCATTGGTAGAAGTCACAGTGCTGGCTCTTCTGTAATTTACTCATGGCCACTGTGTGCTGGGCGCTACGGACATGGGGATGAATGGCCTGCTTTGTGGCGCACAGAGATGGCCTGAAACTTTGATGAGCCTGGCTGGGGGTGGGGGGTGCGGGAGGGCTGTATGTATGTGTGTGACCAGGAGGCCAGTGGTCCCAACTTTGAGCCGCCTCCTCTCTGGGCCTCCGTCCCCTCACCTGTGCCATGGGGATGGCGACCGGTCTGCAGTGAGGACCCAGCCGGCACTAGCACCACGCCCACCTGGGGCACCTGAGGGTCCTGCTCAGTCATATAGGCTGTGCATGTGTGCCACGTCATATAGGGAAGAGCTGCTGTCGATTTGCCCCCAAAGGGGGCTGGTCTTAGTTTCCTCTCCTTGGGAGGAAACCTTCAGACTAAAAACAAAGATGAAGAGTAACGGGTCCGATGGCTGGGGAAGTCGGTGGGGCAGGCGGCAGCGGTCCAGGGTGTGGACGGAGGGAATAGGTGCCCCCTCCTGCCCATCCTTCCCGAGTGTTAAATCCTGCCCTTTCATGGAGAGCATGGCTCCAGGGGCAGAAGCCAGACTCAGGGGGATCTGGGCTTGCCTGCTGGGGTGGGGGCACAAACTCTGCCATCAAGCCGATGCTAACTCACAGCGACCTTATAGGGCAGGGTGGAACAGCCCCCGTGGGTGTCCAAGACTGCACCTCTTGACAGGGCTAGAAAGCCTCATTGCCCTCCCTTGGAGGGGGCTAGTGGTTTCGAACTGTTGACCTTGCAGTTCGCAGCCTAACGCATGACCCTCTGTACCGCCAAGGCTCTTAGTGGAGGTGCTAGTGAGCATGGACTCCCAGAACTCTGGAGAGCTGACAAGGGGTGAGAAATCCAATTTCTCTCCAAATCTTAAAGCCACTTGAGGTTGGGATGGCCTGTGGGGCTGGGGGCGGCGGGTGGGGGGGCGATGCATACGGTGGGGCCTGGGTACCAAAGGAAAGGTCATGACCGAGCTCAGGTCAGACGCAGAACTCCATAGCAGGCCCAGCTCCCTTTGCCCACCCACCGGGCCAGCCTGTCCTCCAGATCTCGGATCTGGATGTGGTAGAACTCCCGCGTCTCCGGGTCCAACACCGACTCTGTTGCCGCGCCGGGGTCCTTCTTCCCCCCTTTCTTCCTCTTCACCTCGGGCTCCTTGCCCCCCTTGCCGGCCTTGATTTTGGGAGCCATGGCTGGTAGCAGCCACAGCTGGAGGTCCCCTTTAAGAGGCCAGGTGGTTGCTAAGGAAGTGGACTCTACACATAGCAACAAGCTGAAGGATTGTGGCTGGGCTTAAAGGGACCCTGGCCTCCTCCTAGCTGGTCACTGGACAGTCTCCCCTTCCAAGACAGATACATCACAGTAACCTGGATGCCCCTGACCATGCCTAGGATCAGGATGCTAGGCTCTTGGGGGCACACTTTTGGGCTCTGGGGTAACCCTTCCCTCCCTCAAATGGGGGTGGTGTTGGTTGCCAGCGAGTCGGGGCTGTGACTCAGAGTGACCTGTGCGCAACAGAAGGAAACACTGCCCGGTCCTGGGCCGTCCGCACGTTGATTCTGTGCCTGAGCCCATTGTAGGTGCCATGCCAGTCCGGCTCCTTGAGGGCCTGCCTCTTCACTAAGCACAACCTATCTCTGCAGACAACATGCCCAAAGTCTGCGAGAAGAAGCCCGTCATCCTTGCCTCTCAGGAGCACTGTGGCCGTGCTGCTTCCAAGGTAGATTGGTTTGTCCTTTGACCGTCGATGGTGGTGTAACTATTCTTCTCCAGCACCACAACTCAAGTGCACCAGTTTTTCCTCAGGCTTCCCGATTCAGGGTCTAACTTTCACAAGCACGTGAGGTCGGGTGCACCTGTGTTTGCAGAGTAACATCCTGGCCCGTCAAGACGCTAAAGCAGCGGTCCTCAACCTGTGGGTCACGACCCCTTTGGGAGTCGAACGACCCTTTCACAGGGATCACCCTATTCATCACAGTAGCAAAATGACAGTGATGAAGTAGCAACGAAAAAAATGTTATGGTTGGAGGGGGTCACCACCACATGAGGAACTGTATGAAAGGGTCGCGGCATCAGGAAGGTTGAGAACCACTGGTCTGAAGACTTCTTGTGCAGCAGATTGACCTAAAGCAACACGTCTCTGGATCTCTCGACTGCTGCTTCCATGATGAGCCTCGATTGCGGATCCAAACAAGACAATCCGCAACGTCAACTTTTCCTCCACCGATCATGATGTTAACCTTTTGGCCCAGGGGTGAGGATGTTGGCTTTCTTTACACTGAGTTGTAATCCATACTGAAAGCTGCGATCCTTGATCTTTCTTCCCCAGCAAGTGCTTCAAGTCCTCCTCACTTTCAGCAAGCAAGGTTGTGTTGTCTGCATAGCGCAGGTTGGTGATGAGCCCAAATAGTAAGCAGTGGAAATAAGCGACATGGGAATAATCGGCTCCATCCCCCTTGGGCAGGTCAGAAGTGGGAGGCACATCTGCCCAGCACGACCTCTGGCCAGAGACTCCCTTTCTGTAGCTCCCAGCTGGGTGGTAGCAACCTGGGGGTGTGGGATAGTGAGGGTGGGAGGTGTTCACTGGCCAGATTCCCTGGTTGGCAGCTGTGCGCCCCAACCAAACTCAGCCCCTCCATCTCCGTCTCTCACTGCTGGCCACCTGTTTGCGTGCTTGCCCGCCCCCCAGCCCAGGTGCTTCTGGGACAGCGGCCAGTGCTCGCCGCAGTCCCACCTGTGGTCTCAGCGCGTGGCCGCGGCTCTGTCCCAAGTCTGGTGACTAGGCATAGTTCCCAAAGCAAATGGGGCTTGTTTGAGGATCAGATCTTGAGAAGGGGAGGACTCTCAGGTGGGTAGGGGGCTGAGAGGGGATGGTGAGGGTGGGTACTCACTACTGGCCAGTGAGGTCCGCTGGAGCAGTGGTTGGTTTAAGTGGGCTCAAGTTTGAGCACTGTGTCTCACTCCCAGTGTGGCCTTGGGCCAGTGGCCTGACCTCTCTGAGCTCTAAAGGGGGGAGAGTAACAGTACCTGCTCCTCACAGACTGTTCTGTGGTCTGAGCGAGACCTTGTCTATAGTCCCTGCACAGCGGGGCGGCCCGCAGGCAGCAGGCACTCAGGAAGTGGTGGCCAGTGCTGCCGTCAGCTGTGCCAGTGCATGAAGCTCCAGCCTGCTTTGTGGGTGGGCAGCCTCTGGAATTTCCAATACCTCTGTGCCCCCAGCCTCGGCTGGGCTCTTTCCTGGGTATGTGCGTGCCAGCTGGGGCAAAGATGGGACTGGCAGAGGCCAAGAGCACCCTTGCTCCCGTGCTCAGCCCTTGAACCGGCGTTCTCAGGTAGATCCTCCAGGCAGTGCAATGAGCTCTGGTTCCCAGTGTGTGTGGTGACACAGGCCCCAGAGGATAGCGGCCTGGCTCAGTGCCCAGCACCCGGGGGCTGGCAGCGGGCTGCTACCCAATCCCCCCAAAATAATGTTCCTCCCGCCCCCACTCCCACTCCTCTGCCCCATCACCACCGCAATAGGCAAAATGACTCTCTTGACGGGAGTCTAGTTCAGCAGGGGTTCCCCATGGTGTTCCCTAGCTGTTCTTCTCCCTCTGCGCCGCTCCCCCCTCATCCCCCCACCCCCCGCCCAGCTTCTACCTTCATTTACCCATCTCGGGCAAAATTTCCAGCCTGGCTGGGAATTGGGGTCACAGGCGGCCACGAGCCCCCAAAGGATGTCAACTCTGAGATCCGAACCCAGCCTGGGTCTCAGCACCAGGCTTGCTCCCCAGGGATGGGGACAGGGGTTTTTGTGTGGCTGCAGTCTCACGGATGGCACTAGTGACCAAGGGATTTCTGGGGCAGTCTCCATGGCGTGGGGACTGGAGAGAGGTTGGAGAGAGATCGTTTTCTGAGATCGGCTTGCTCCCTGTTCTCAAACCCCAGGCCATCTCGCTTTGGCTTCTCTTCTCCATGCCCTCTGCATCCTTTTGGGGATGGTGAAGGCAAGCCTGGAACTACTAGGCTTCGTGGGTCTGGAAGGCTGTGTGCAGGGGCCGGGCTCCCCGTCAGGGCCAATCAGAACCAAGCAGGGGCATCTGAGAGCATTCCCCAAGCCACTTACAGACTTGAGCAGCACAGAGCGGGGCCTCTCAGCCCAGGGTCTCAAACACCCTGTGCAAACACAGAACGGTATGCTGACTCTGACCTTGGGGTGACTCCTAGCCAACCAGGCCTAAAGATAACATCACAGCTAACCTCCTGTGCAGGCCCAAGGCCTCACCCTTCCCAGAAGGTTCCCTGAGGGAATATCCAAGAGTCTACTCCCTGGCTGAATGGGGGACAAAACCATAAACTACCTGAACTTCCCAGCTGCATGCAAACCCAGTGGCAAAGGGTAAAACTCCAACAGGAAGTGCATGGGACCAGACTCAGATCAACTAGTGACTGAAGCCGACCCAGGAGTCATCCCTAGAGGAAAAAAACCTGAGCTGGGACAACAGAGCCTGGGCACCAAGGAAAACTTAGCTTCCAAGAATTTAAAAAAAAAAAATTTTTACTGGGGGCTCCTACGACTCTTATCACAATCCATCCATCCATCCATTGTGTCAAGCACATTTGTACATTTGTTGCCCAGGGAGGGGGTTATATGTAGATCCTTGTGATCAGTTCCCCCCTTTCTACCCTACCTTCCCTCCACCCTCCTCTTATTGCCACTCTCACCACTGGTCCTCAAGGGATCGTCCGCCCTGGATTCCCTGTGTTTCCAGTTGCTATCTGTACCAGTGTACATGCTCTGGTCTAGCCAGCCTTGCAAGCTAGAATTGGGATCATGATGGGGATGGGGGGTGAGGAGGAAGCATCGATTGTGAGTGACGTTTACAGGGTTAATTGTGATGGTAAAAACTTGGAAATCTAGCGATGGGATTGGTCAATTTTGCCACCCTCAAAACTCACTGCTATTGAGTGGATGCCGACTCACAGAGACCCTATAGGGCAGGGTAGAACTGCCCCAGTGTGTTCCAGAGACTGTAATTCTTTACGGGAGTAGAAAGCCCCATCTTTCTCCCCAGGAGAAGCTGGTGGTTTCAAACTGTGGACCTTGTGGCGAGCAGTCCAATTGGGAACCACTAGGCCACCAGGACTCCTTTTGCCACCCTTCTGGGTTTCAAATGAGCCATCTCAGGGCGGCAGGGAGGGAGGAACAGGAAGAGACAGGAGCGATGTGCATCCTTGGGACCGAGAGCCTCCACAGTTACCTCCTTCCTGTGGGGATGGAAGGCTCTGACTCCAAAGAACCAAGAGCAGGCAAGGGCTCAGTGGCTTGCAGGTCCCCAGAGCCAGGAAAGGGGCAGGAGGCCAGCTTAATCGGGGAAGCTAGGCTGACTGACCCACAGAGCTCAAGCCAACTGCTTTCAGGCTGAGGGCCGGGGGGTGGGGGAGTGGGGAGCTGGAGGTAGGGGTGCCTCCTTGAGCACTTGCCAACTGTGCTGAAAGAGTAGAAGCCAAGGGTGTAGCTGAGAGACCAAGGGCCAGAGGGAGGCGTGCCTGGGAGCGCCCGTGAGAAGAGGCTGTCCTGACGGAATAATTGTGCCCTTTTCCATTGCTAGATAAATCCCATAATCATGAGTATTGCCATTTCCATGAGTTATTGACCCCAGCTGAGCAGCAGGGTGCTGTGGGTGGGACGGTCGCTGTCAGATGGGTAAAGCAGGTTGGAGGTTGGTGGCATGTCTACCTCTAGGAGCTGGCCTCGGGCTGATGTGGACTTTGACGTCCCTCCCCCTGGGGAAGCCAGAAGAGAGCAGATACCATCCGCCATCTCTACATGTTTTTAGAACCGATGCATACCGAGAATTGGGAGAACGACGAGGCTTTCTACTCCTGTAAAGAGTGACAATTGGAATCCAGGACAGATGACCTCTTCAGGACCAGTGGTGAGAGTGGTGATGCCTGGAGGGTGGAGGGAATGTGGGGTGGAAAGGGGGGAACTGAT